CACTTTCTCGATTCATCGTTAGTGGCACTTGATATAAATTCTGTATTTGATACAGTTCCTATAGCGAGAGTGTTCCCTTAAAGCTATTATGATGATATATTTTTATGCATTTGTAATATTTATTAGTTCGCTTTGTGCAATGTTCATAGCGCCCGTAGCGTTGGCTTGGATCATATTTACAGAGACTACGGACTTTTGACTAGATGTTTTAGTTTTAGCCGTATGTGAATCGTCATATTAAAGGCTATGATGTTCCTAAACGCAACATTTATATATTATTATGTATATCTTTGCTGCTTGTTGTATGTGTAGCACTTTAGTCTTTAAAATTTTTGGTAGTAAGCCACTATATTAAGGCTATTCTCGCTTACACTCGATGACAATAATGTTATAAAACTCTATGGGCTATCAAAATCGAGTGCAAACAATTAACGACTTTAAGTGCTACACGACTTATGTAAACAAAGTAAAGGCTTAAGCGTATAGTGGTATAGATGAAAACATAAATATCATCATATATTGCTAGAGAACACCGGATATTCTAAATATAAACTCTTGTTATTGTAGTAAAATATATGTTCTTTTCCACGTTATTAAATTTCGAGCAATCAAAACTAACTAGAAAGAGATGTAACATCTATAATATATATCACTGCATACTGTTATCTCTTTTTACTACTTCTTAGCGTTTGATATACGATTCACACTCTTGACGGGCTCGTTTTAGAGTTTCGTTTTGGTTTTACATTGCATTATTACAACTACATGATAAATTCGCGACTTTAGAGAGATGTTGCCTGTAAACATATCATTCGGCTTTTCTCATATTTCCCTACGTTTTACTGAACTATGACTAACTTTTATAATCGGTTTTTGTGTGCCGCCTGTGCATAATTTAAGGTATATACATATAGGTAGTAGTTTCCAGGTGGGTGCTTTTAAATTTATTAGTTTATAATAATATATTTCACCAATAGCAGCACATTTAAACGGAATTTTGGTGCAAGAGGTAAAATAATGATGGATTTAACCTTTTTTTTCTCATAAACAATTTTGTTATTAAAAGTTCGATACTTTTATATTTATTATTTTTATGTACTAGTATCATGATACAAAAGAAATATATAACATATAGATATTTTAGCTATTTACACGCGAATAGGAGATAACATTTAGAACATTAGAATTGCATAGTGCGTAATTATGAACTATTTAAGAAATGCTTTATATCAGCTGTAATGTAACACATTATTGGTGCATTAATATGTCGTTTGATGTTTTCAACACACGGTAAGGAACTTCCAGTATTTTCTATAAAATACGCGGGCACAAAAAAAATATTAATTTAAATCAATGGGTACATAGGAAACTTTAACTTTATCATAAGAATAGAAAAATATATATTTTTTATTTTCTAAAGACATACTTGCAGATATTAGGCCATTCGAATTAAACCATTAAATGATTTTACTGGGTAACACGTTACGATATTTCTATTTTTTTTTATTATTATTACTAAGCGAAATACCAATACCAATTTTAATAAAAGAAAAAATAATAACGCATTCAATATAATAATACCTACCTTCTCTTAAATACATTATTAAGTAATATTAAGTAAGGTTTTCATTGACGTAATTAAGTTAATTTAAGTTGTCCTTGAAAGGACCCGCCTGTATTAAAACTTTGGGTATAAAACATTGATTAATAATTATGAAAATAACTAGAATACGTAGAAAAGAAATTAGAAAAATGATAATATGGATTCAATTATGGAATTAAATTAGACAAATTGTGTAGTGTGGATTCAACCCTGAATTATTGGGATAGTAATGTGATATATTATTGTTTTTTTTTCTGATTTTATTTGAAACAGTTGTAGATAAAGTAACTGATTTTTAAATGTTAAATAGTACTTACCTCATTTTGGTAATCAGGCTTATTATTATCTTTCTAAATTAAAATAAAATTATTATCTTTCTAAATAAGATATTTTTAAATACCGAACTAACAAATAAACACAGTGTATCAATCCACATTCCACAATTGCTGCCATTTAATATAAGTATTTATTAAAATACAACCAGCATTAAATTTAATATTAAAAATGAAGAAGATATAATTTGGAAATTTAGCTACGAACTATGAATAGAGAATATAATTAAAGTTAGTATATTTAAAATTAACGAGTTTTCTAATTAAGGTAAATATAATAAATCTTTAATTATTTATTACCTACTAATTAAGGTTATAACATATTTCGTTTAAATATACTAAGCGACAAATTCATTTCGAATGTTATTGCAGCTTTTATAATAATAAGTAAGACTCGATATGATTTAAATCTTTCCCTTTAAGGGGATCGAGTCTTAAATTGGCATTTTTATTAAAGCTCGTGATGTTAAAGTACAGATATGTACTGAATTCTAAAACAAGAAATCTGCTAATGAACTGAGAGATTCTCTAGGTCTAATTATATCAAAATGACCAATTGGTCGTAGCATTGAAGCAAGCATTTCTCTAATACGAATATTTAAATTTATCATTTTTGTATCTTTTGTTTTATAATTATCACGTAATGTCTTTATAAGTTTACATGGAATCACTTTCGATCGCAGGAGTACAACAACATTGAATTTTAATAATCCTTTATCACATTACGATCGTAAATATTCGACAAAAAAAAACTTTGTCTGTCGCTATGCGCTGTGTCAATAAAAATACGTATTTTATGAAACCTTTTTATAATTTAGGTTTTTTTTTACTCTTCCAGCCATACTCACAGATATCGTAAATATAAGACTTTGATTAAATATGATGTTTTCACTTTCTTTACTATAGCAAAGGAAGAGACAACGTCACTTTAATAGTCATTAATTTTAATTTACGTCTCTGAGAGCAGCCGTTACTTCTCTGAAATAGTATCTATTTTAAGGTTTCAACTACTGAAATAGTTCTTTCTTATACGGCAAGGAAAGGGTAATAAACTTTTTTTTTTAATTTATGTAAAATTTCAATCGTATTGAAGAGCTTTCGCAAAAAAATACTAAAAATATATCGTTTTACTTTGAGCGTATAGAAGTTTTTAACTCGATATTATATATTCAGTCACTTAATTGAATATATAATATTATGCTAAATCACATTTTCAGTTATAACTCGAATGGAAAATGTTTATAATACATCGTCTTTTATTCAGTCATTGGTAGTAAAACTGGGAGTCCGTAATGTTATATCTTTCTTAGATTGTATCGTTGGTTTGTTTTTAATACTTTCCAATTAGATATAGTCTTTTTGTTCTTATATCTTTACATAGATAATTTAATAATACCTTTTTCAATAAAAATAAGGTGAATCTTCACTATATAACAACATGTGGTGGTTTAGATAATATTTTGTCATAGTTTGTCCAATTGGTATTTTAAGGAGATTCTTTTCATTCTACTGTATTCATAGCAAACATTCACCCTATTGCTTTACATTTTTTTTTAATATGTTTCAAACACATATTATATTTGAGCCATATTCCATATTGATGGCAGAATGTCAAACTTTTTAATATGATTTTTAAAATCCCCATTTTGTTAACTAAATTAATGATACGGAGATTTATGTCAGGTTTGTGACTTTTTTTTTTACTTTGGACAGTACGTCACAAACATAATTTTTGTCTTTAAATGACGTAACAGTTATATATATAAACATCGTATATAAAGTAATTTGTCATAAACGCACGCTTATTCGGTCTATAACCCTGACCCTTTGCAGACTTTAACGACAGGTATATTTTCGTGTTATTTTTTTTTTCACCATTAAATTGGTTGACAATATGTATTTTTTATCCAAAACAGAGACTTTTTATTGCGATGTTCCTGTACAAGATTTTTTTCAAAATAGTAGAATAAAATCTGGTATAGATAGCGGCATACTACTTGAGCAAAACTACAGACAAATTTACGCAGGAGACGCTTTTATATGGAAATCGCATTTTTTTTTAATGCTACTGCGCAAGCTTTCTTGTCTGTGGTCGATGCCCAAGAAGTTTACCGGGGTGTACAATATTAACAAATGTTTCTGTTTTACAGCATATTTCTTTATGTTTAGTACCTATCTAAAAGATTTTTGTAGCGCTAATGTTAAATTACAAACTTTCGAGTACCTATCGTTATTGATTAATATAGGCACCGAAATATCATGCCACTTTGAATTTGATTATTTTCTGTAATAATATTTGTTTCTTTGCATTTACGAATTTACGGCAGTATTGTTTTTTTTTTTTCAATATTGACGTGTTAATATTGCACGATATTTTTTTAATTAAAAAACAATTTACAAGTGAATCGCATATTCTTTGAAGAAAGATTTTTAATACCATCCTTTTTTAATATGTATTCATTTCACTACCAATATTCTACGAACAATGGAGCCTGATAAATACGCACTTTATAATTATTTATGAAAGTATCTTATTAATTTTTGATACTGCTTGTGTTTAATCCTGTGAAGAGGAGTTTGAGAAATAATAATTGTTGGCGACAGACACTGGCCACTAGGCCACTAATGTATTTTTTTTTAATATTATTCTTATTTTGTATTGACATATCATTTCTCTATTATTATTGTTTTACTTGTCATTGTATATTGTTGTTGTGTTTTCTATAAATTTATTGATTTTAAAGTAAAAATATTTTAATTATTATTCGCTTTTGTTGTAAGTCACTTCAACAATCTGTTAATAGTTAAACTCCAAATAAGGTGTTCTTATAAGGAATTAATAATATTACTATGTTTTAAATTGAAAGGAATCAACTGCAAATTCACTTGTTAGTAAACCGGCTTTTGTAAGCTATTTATATGAAAACCTTGGACATATAAACATCCATGAAACAAACTCTAGTGCCATCCTTAGCAAAAATTATTAAGATTTTTTTTTTCAAAGTGACATGGTCCTTCGATCCTCGTCTCCTAAAGGGTAGGGTGGGTGTCTCGTTTCCAAAGACTTACGTAACTTCCAATGGTTGCAGGGCTTCTTGCAGCACGTACTGCGAGCGGTGGTCGGGCGAAGCCCTGGCGCGGAGCCCCGGGTGCAGCTTACTCCACGGCGTGGGGGACCATTTGAACTCGGTGTATTCGTTCATTTCCTATAGAAAATTTTGAATGTTATGTGGCGTTTTCACCTTGGGGAGCATCCAAGTATTACGTAACGCAAATTTTGAAGATTTTTGATATAATATACCCCTGCTCGGGCGCGGTGTGGGGCACGGAGTTGGCGCACAGAAATCGCAAAAGTTAAGGGGGGGGGGGGTCCGAGGAGTCAGGTCAGGGATGTCAAGGGGTTCGGGGGAGGGAGGGTATATAGTAACAAAGAGGCACTATAAAATGAAGAATACCTGATATATAAAATTCTTGTGTCACGGTCAAAGATATATATATATATATATATATACAGTGCCCCACTCTCCCGCACGAAGTGGGGCGCGGTGTGTGGCGCGGCGTCGGCGCACAGCACCCGCACGGCGCCCGGGGGCCAGCGCCCCTGTCGCGTGTACAGCGCGGACACTTCCACGGACGCGAGCGATATATATATATATATATATATATATATATATATATATATACAGTGCCCCACTCACCCGCACGAAGTGGGGCGCGGTGTGTGGCGCGGCGTCGGCGCACAGCACCCGCACGGCGCCCGGCGGCCAGCGCCCCTGTCGCGTGTACAGCGCGGACACTTCCACGCACGCGAGCGATATATATATATATATATATATATATACAGTGCCCCACTCACCCGCACGAAGTGGGGCGCGGTGTGTGGCGCGGCGTCGGCGCACAGCACCCGCACGGCGCCCGGCGGCCAGCGCCCCTGTCGCGTGTACAGCGCGGACACTTCCACGCACGCGAGCGATATATATATATATATATATATATATATATATACAGTGCCCCACTCACCCGCACGAAGTGGGGCGCGGTGTGTGGCGCGGCGTCGGCGCACAGCACCCGCACGGCGCCCGGCAGCCAGCGCCCCTGTCGCGTGTACAGCGCGGACACTTCCACGGACGCGAGCGATATATATATATATATATACAGTGCCCCACTCACCCGCACGAAGTGGGGCGCGGTGTGTGGCGCGGCGTCGGCGCACAGCACCCGCACGGCGCCCGGCGGCCAGCGCCCCTGTCGCGTGTACAGCGCGGACACTTCCACGGACGCGAGCGATATATATATATATATATATACAGTGCCCCACTCACCCGCACGAAGTGGGGCGCGGTGTGTGGCGCGGCGTCGGCGCACAGCACCCGCACGGCGCCCGGCGGCCAGCGCCCCTGTCGCGTGTACAGCGCGGACACTTCCACGGACGCGAGCGATATATATATATATATATATACAGTGCCCCACTCACCCGCACGAAGTGGGGCGCGGTGTGTGGCGCGGCGTCGGCGCACAGCACCCGCACGGCGCCCGGCGGCCAGCGCCCCTGTCGCGTGTACAGCGCGGACACTTCCACGGACGCGAGCGATATATATATATATATATATATACAGTGCCCCACTCACCCGCACGAAGTGGGGCGCGGTGTGTGGCGCGGCGTCGGCGCACAGCACCCGCACGGCGCCCGGCGGCCAGCGCCCCTGTCGCGTGTACAGCGCGGACACTTCCACGGACGCGAGCGATATATATATATATATATATATACAGTGCCCCACTCACCCGCACGAAGTGGGGCGCGGTGTGTGGCGCGGCGTCGGCGCACAGCACCCGCACGGCGCCCGGGGGCCAGCGCCCCTGTCGCGTGTACAGCGCGGACACTTCCACGGACGCGAGCGATTTGCGGAGACGCGCGAAGCCTACTAAATCGTACTGCCATACCCAGTAACCTAGCGTGAAATTAAACGTTCATTATAAGCCTGCAGCAAAAGTTTTTGAAAACATTCAACAAAACAAATACTCAAAACTTTAGTTTCTGAAACATGTTTCTCTACACAGGCCGTCTTCTGCTCGCGTGGCTATCGCACACAAAATACACAGGGCTTCGTTTGAAAACTACGATCCAGGTGCATCAATGTCAAATTTGACAAACGTTTTGTATATTTTATGACAAAATTGAAACATCACAATGAAAAGTTGTACTCGGAGCGTAGATTTGGAACGAAGGCCCCGCTAGCGAGTTGTCGATGTTGTTGTGCGATGAATAATAATACCTTGCCCCTAGACCCACCCGCGGGAGAAGTATTTGTGTACGTGTTTTCCATCGGGCTCGGAAAGCATAAGACATTGTTGATACAAACAAATATTTGTAGTGAAACAAGTTTTGTGTAGACGATTTTGTTGAAAGTTGTTGATTATGTAGGGTAAAACATGCGCTGGAGACACGGCGCTATGTGCTGAACCATTTTTCGAGACCTAACACTCTGTTACATGTGTAATGTATGTTGTAGAAAATTGGCAATTAAAAATTTAACTAACAAAAAATAGCAAACCTAGCGTCGTGGAACTATTGATATTTGACTGTGGTTTTTAAATTGATTTTTTATAGAAATTGTTGAAATGCAAGGTTTTACGCTATAATAACTTCATCTATGTCACTGTTAATGTTTTCTTGTAAGGAATTTTTAATAGGTAAGAAATTTTCTTTAACCAAAGTTGAACGACTATTACTCTTAAACTAACAAATCTAAATAAAACTAGTTTATACGGGTTAATGCACGAAACTTTATTTATTTATTGACGTTTCGCAGCCTTTTCAGGTCTGCATCGGTCAGAATAATCATCTAACAAATCTATCTTAACCGTTATAGTTTTCCCTGAAAGTTCATGAAAAGCACTATTAACATGATTTTTTCCAGGTTTTTCAAGACAATAGTTTATAGCTTTTAGAGGAGGGGGTCGCCCTGCTCGAACAAAAACTAGCACTTTAAAGTTCAATATTTCGAAAATGGATCCCGAAATCGAAAACTAGTCTTAGGAACCCCTAGGTGATTTTAAAGGACCTATTCAACGATATGCACACGATGGAGTATATGATGATAAAAAATCACCCCTGGTTATATGTAGGAGTTACCCTAATTTATTTTATTTTATTTTATTCTACCAAATATCTCTACAAAATAACAGCTCCCTAGCGCTAATAGTGTCCAAGCAAAACTGGAGACGGACAGACGGACATGACGAAACTATATGGGTTCACGGAAAGCTAAAAAGCAAATTAGAGTATGATTTTCTAGTGCACGTTTACACACTTACACGTTTTTTAGATTGCGCATTGGTTTAAATAGTACCGATCCTGCCAACAATTCTTATTTAACCATTTATTCTATGTAAATTAATATTCTATGGTTCGGTGTGGAGAATGTGGCGTTGTCTCACTCTTAGATCTCAAAACGGTACAACGCTTTATTTTCAGGTAAAACGTTATATTAAAAACCTTTTATTGAATTTCCCATTTCCGATCTATCTGTGTTATGTTCTAGTATAAACATTGCAAATGGAATATGCAACTTTTTCTAACTGGGATAGTAAGTTTTAGAAACTTTTGCACTGGCCGGTCGTCGTTTGTATGGCCAATTATTGGCTCGAGCTCCTCCCTGCTTCGTAAGGCAAGGTAAGCCGTTGGTCCCCGCTGCGTCTGCAGTCGTTGGCACCCACCAAGCCGCACTGGGCCCGCGTGGTGGGTCATGGCATAGACTCCCTATTCCTAGCCTGTGCCCCAGCAGTGGAAACATAAATAGGCTCATGATGATGTTGAGATGGACGTATGTGTCGATCTCCGTAAGCTAGTGGAATGTACTATCAAACAATTTGTTTTTCCAAAAAAAGAATTATCTTAAATAAGTACATATATAATATATATTTGAATAATAATATTTACAACTTACCATGTATAACAAGTCGCCTCAACTGTGTGCATTGCCAACACAGCAGTATGAATGGATTCACGTTACAAATCCCGAACTAAAAAATAAAGTATACATTAGAACTTTATGCTGGCACTGTTATGATGGAATGAGCCACTTGCTTGTTGCTGGGCTTCATTTATATAGGACTTGCTACGGGTTTGTCACACGGATGGAAAGTAAATTAAATATTGAAGATAGAATATTTTACTGAAAAAAGACATTTTATTATTAAATAATAAATAGAACTGCATTCACAGATTTTTTAAAAATTGATTAATAATAATAATTTGGTAGTAATTTTCTAACTTTTGAATGCACATTGTGTCAACGTGACGCGTGTTTAGATTGGCTGTGTATTAACCGAACTAATTGAAAATAAGACCTCATGCCTCAAGTGAGGCTATATTTACCGATACGGATTTTATACGCTTACCCGTTATTTATAGTATTTTTGATCGAAGATTCTATCCGTTACCCTAGTATCCCATATCACAAGGCTACAGTGCTTACTTTGGGGCTAGGCTAATTGGTGTGCGTTGGAAATATTTATTTATTAATCTACGCTGCTTACCGTAGCGGCCATTGAAGATTTATTTGTATTTTTTTTTTTGAAAGTTATACCTAATTTGAAATTGAGAGAAAAAAATCAATGCAAAAATAACTTTTGCAACGCCATCTATTGACACCTGAATTTAATGATGATTTTCAATTAAATTTTAACACATTTTTATTCAATTGTAGACTATATGAATCAGAATATGAATAATTGAGGATTAGGCCATTTTTGCGCTGACAGCCTCAATTATAGTTGAGATTGAAAATATGCCATAAAATGTATAGAAATTCGTATACAAACCTCATCTGGAGGCCCAGTTCTCACTATACGATTGTAAGGGTCGTAGGAATCGTAAGGGGCGTCTGCCCAAACCAATTCTCTTAAAGTCTCTTTGTACAATCGTACTATATGCTCCAATAATGGTTGATGCAACTGAAACGAACATTTGGAGCTTAAAACTTGAAAACTAAAGACATGCGAAGATCAATGACGAATTATGCTTACTCATAATAATATAATTAATAGTATATAAAGCTGGTAATTATGTTATAGTCATTAACTCGAATAATCAAAATGTTACCGTATAATGTAATTAAATTCATATTGTTTTTTTTTTGTTATCATCTTAACTATGTGACTGGGCAATAGAGAATTTGAACTGAATTTAAATTAGACAAATATCTTGAGAGAAAACAAAGTCTAATGCAGATAATACGGACACTTCACAAAGCCATTTGTATTTGGTATTTGGGAGTAGTCTTTCCTTTTCCCTCCCAATAGAGCATGATAAGGACAACCTGCTGTCAAAATGACAAATAGCGAACACGAATAGCCATGTAAAGTGGCGGCCTAAAGACTGAAGAACAATGGCAAATTAGATAAATATCTTGAGATAAAACAAGTATAAGAAAGGAGGAAATTGTCATGTCTGGACATTTTTAGACAGAAAATACAGACACTGTGCTTGGCCTGTGATTTGACATTGATATTAACTCAATACTTTTCACTGTGCAAATACTAAGTTAATCAAAGCCGAACCAATATGAAAACCGGCCAAGAACTTAAACGTGCAGTCATTTTATACCGGCATTTGGACCTAATTTCAAAGGACATCGGCCAAATCATATTTGCAAAAAACAATCTCTATAATGAAAAAATGTAATACAATCTGTATTACATGAATAAAAATGTCAAAAAACATAACCTATAAATGTTCAAAGCAAAATAATTTTTTTCCTCGGCCTTCTTTCATCGTGATTCTTACACATATAAGCTTAATAAATTACGCAGAATCTAATGATAAACAAATATCACTTGTTGAAAGACGCAACAATTTAATTTGAAATAAAACGATGTATGGTAGTTGACCGAAGTCCTTAAATACAGAGGCATCAATAGAATCCTTTTACAGATGAACACAATTGAACTATCTGAGTAATTGAAAATGCAATAAAACACGTAGGTATGATTGAGGTTATATACTACAATAGAATGCCGAATATACGAATTAATTGGGACAGGGGTCGATTCGGATAATCTAATATTCGGATTCGGTAATAAAGAAAACCGAACAGTCACACATAGAATCTCTTATCTATTAGGCAAGTCCGTCCGTCCGTCCGTGGTGCTGTTTCAGCGGCCAAACCGTAAGAGATAGATAAAGATAATGTTTAAGTTATAAGTTGAGAATAGTCTGATAAGACTACAAACCGGATGTGAGTAACGTAGCACTTCCGGTTTTCGAGAAATCACGTGATTTCTATTTCAAACGAAACCACACAAAATCTCCGAAGTTCTCAATTAATTAAATACATTTTTTTTTTTGGTGAACATTTGGTTCACTGCTTTGCTAGTAAACTTTATTAAGTTTAACAAATACAGTTCTACAATACTGTATGTACAATAATAGAGGTACATAGTAGTAAAAAAACCGCGCCACACAATACATGTAGTCTTGCCTCTAGCTTTTAACCATAACAGTTGAAATATACCAGGACTCCAGCGAGTTCCAAAAATAACTTGGTTTTTTTTTTATTACGCTTAGGACTGTTTCGGATAATTGGCGATTCGGTTAATCGGCGTTCTACTGTACTTGCTTTTTGTGTTAATACTTACAGTTTTACAATACATAACTTTGAGAGAAGTTAGCGCCATACCCTCGCGCAATACGTTATCAATTAGTTCGTCCATTCTCTTCATAGGCATAGCGATCTGGAACAAAGGTTTGATAATCACTAGCCTATTAATGTCCCAAGTGCTGGGGCACAGGCCTTCCCCATGAATGGAATAGGGAGATTGGGCTGTCACGAGGGTTGCCATTTAGGAATTTCAAAAGTCCTGGCAAAAATCCTGACATATTGAAAAAGTCCGGACTTTTTAGTCACACAATGATACCATTCCTCACTTAGTTACAATGGTATGGTATTTAAATCAATATGTACTTTTTTGTAATGTAATTTAGAAAATCCGGACAGTATAAAGATCCGGACAAAGTCCGCATGTCCGGACTAATCCGGACGGATGGTAGCCCTAGCCGTGACCCACCACGCGGGCCCAGTGCGGATTGGTGGGTGCTAACGAACGACCGCAGCCGTGACCAACGGCTTAACGTGCCTTCCGAAGCGCGGAGGAGCTCGTGATAGTAAATTTTTGGTCACCCATCCAATGACCGACCACTGCGAAAGTTGCTTAGCTTTAACGATCGCAGCCGAACGCGCTAAAAATTTACGCATTCGAGCTACTCAAACGTTTAAAGCTCAAATATTAACTCGTTCTTATTTAGGTAAGTTTTATTGTTGATTGTAATACGGAACAAGAGATAAGATCTCTCTATATGAAAATAATACAATTAAAAGAAGCAATGCTGCTTGCGTTCAGGTATTAAAATATAATTTTAAAAGATGATGCAGATCATTATTGATTTACTATACAAGCTATTTTTTATCATATATATGTTATGTTTATGTGTATATTTGTATATATGTATGTGTAAGTATGTTTATATGTTATTAAATGTATTTTTTTTATATACATACATTAATACATAGATATTTACATAATTAGAATACATAGATTTGATGTAGATTGTATGTATGGATGTGACTATTTATTCCAAGCCATATAACACCCGAACCCTCGGTCTCTGTATAACTTTTCAAACTCAGTGGTTGTCTGGAAGAAATCGCTCTTAGCGATAAGACCGCTAATTATAACGCTTTTGTTAAGTTTATTGTTTCAGAATGTTATATATAATTATGTATTTGGTGTGATAATAAAGTGTTAATCTATCTATCTAATGGTAGACATTGAGAATACCTACTGTTATTTCATAAGGGAATCTTGAAATATGAAAAGTAATTTCCTATCTCAAGGTTACGCCATAACTATACTGATTTCATATTTTATTTTACATATCTCATGTCTCAATCCGGTAATAAACTATGTGTGAAAATTTTCCAAAGAGTTGTATTACGCATCCAATTTGAATAGATATTTTTAATTGGTGAATTACAACAGCTGTTCGCCTGTGGAATTCTCTTCCAGTATCCATAAGACGAGCACAATCTATTCATATTTTCAAAAATCTTGTTTTCAACCATTATTTGTCAATGTAACTGCATTTTTTTTGACTGGACTAAACTTACATATGTGTAGTCTATGTATGTATGTGTATTATATTTATATTAAATGTATATATATATATATATAATATACAGTGGTGGTCACATAATTAAAGACAACCCCTATTAACCACAAAAATCTTACTTATGGTACTAACAATAGCTAAAATTGGTATTTAATCCAGTTTAATTGTTATTAAACCATACACGACGTTGTATTCTTACAATGTGGGACAAAAAATAGTTGTGTTCATTAGTAGTTAAGGTAGTAGTAGTGGTAGTAGTAGAAGGCAACATGGATCAATTTCAGTACAAGAATATTTTAGAACAAGCCATGCTGCCCTATGCCGAGCAAAACCGGTCATTTGGACCTTCCAACAGGATTATGTTCCGAAAGACACTGCCAAAGTAATAAAAGACTTTTTAAGGAACCAGTCTGTGACAGTTTTGGATTGGCCCCCGTACAGTCCTGATTTAAACCCGATAGAAAAATGTGGTACCAGGTGAAGAAGACAGTGGCGACAAAACGGACATCAAACATCGATCAACTTTACACAGCTTTTAGAGAAGCTTGGAAGCTTGTAAAAAATTGATCGCTTCCATGACCAAGAGATGTTGTGCAGTCATTTCTGCCAAAGGACATGCGACCAAATATTGATACGTACCGGAAAGTTTTATAAATGTGTTAGGAATATTGTGTAATAAAGATAATTTCAATAATAACAATTTTTTTTTCTATTTCTTCTAAGCAAATCGAGTGTCTTTAATTAGCTGGCCAGCTATAAATACGTTAAAAAAGTTTGTGTTACGTTCCCATACTGAGCAACGTCTAAACTACTAACGAACACAACTATTTTTTGTCCCACATTATAAGAATTCAACGTCGTATATAGTTTAATAACAATAGGGACGATGACTATTTTTTTTCTTTTATCAGGTAGATTATCAAAAAGTATTGGACAAGTATTTTTTCTTTTTTCACATAATATAAACATTGCAGAGATATATTGATTTGAAAAGTCGCATGACGTCACGTTTTGGTACAATTTTCACTTAAAAGTGGCGTCACGAGCCCCTACTCCCAAACTTTGACGCGCTATAACTTTGTCATTTTTTGATTGGTTGCCCAAAGAAAAAATACGTGTCCATTATTTTTTGATCATCTAACTGACGGACTTAATTGAATTTCGTTTACTGTACCCCGTCATCACCCCTATTACACTAGATTAAGTACCAATTGTAGGTAATTTTAGTAGCATAAGTAATTTTTTGTGGTCAATTAGGGAGTGTCTTTAATTATGTGACCACCATATTATATATAGTTATATACATTTTTATATCCCTTGTTTCTTTTATAACCGAACACCACTGACTTCAGTTTCTTTCAATCCTCTCCATCCAAAGGTTGTCTGGAAGAAATCGCTTTTAGCGATAAGACCGCCCCTTGAAGCACTCTTATTTTTACAATTGTAATTTCCCTCATTTCTGTTCTGTGTTGTGGTGTTATCAAAGTATTGTGTATTGTATTGTAAATATCCACTCACAATATTAACAGAAACCTCCAATCCATTCGGGTAGCAGGCATCCACTCGGTCCCAGTCTATAGGACTGTACGTCACTTGACGTTTGTTCCTGACGTTCAATGTCAGACGAGAGAACGAGGAGAGCTCAGAGAGCGTTTCTAAAGCGTCAATGTTTATTTGTTCGTAGTCCACTATCATGTGCTGCAAAAACAAAAAAAATACGATAATATTTATTTCTTAAGATTTCATTATTTAAATTAAGTTTTGAACGGGTACAAATGCATTTATTAATACTTTTTTACAGTATTTTTGACATTGAACATTCGAATACTTACATTGAAATGTTATTGTTTATTTTTATTGTCTATGTGTGAATTTAATAGCTAATTTAATTAATAAACTACTTTGTTTCATTATTTTAATACTTTACGGTAGAGTAGTTTTTTTTAAATGTAAAAAATGGTTTGAATGGATAATCAGGGCCTTCCCTATAAATGGAATAGATGGAAAAATCTTTGACCCAGCCCCTTAGCTTATGAGCTGAATGTTACATTTACATTGTATCACGTTTTTTAAGGCGTTTAACTGACAAACTCCATAGTAATTTGACAATTGAGCGTGATAAAAACGCGTTATATACAACGATATTAAATAACCTAGATACACCACATGCGCTCAAAATATGTCCCAATCAAGAAGTGCTTGAACTCCACTCAAGCACTTCGTGGTTCACAGTCACGCGCGGATCATTGAAAAGTCAACATGCCGCAGAGCTCCGAGAAAAATGGCAAAAAGAAATACTTATAGTACCGACAGGTTTTGAAACAAATTTTGTTCTAATACTTACTATTAACTCAGAATTGCGCGTAGAGACAAAGAAAAAAGGTCATTATTCTTCTGCATATGACAATAAGCCGTAAAATTTTAGGAGCTTGCATTTCGAACTGTCATAACTCTGACGCATGCGTTTTAATTAAGACCTTAAACGGTATACATTAAAGGTGACTTTCAATGTTTAAATAATGCCTTATATTGTTTCCGACTACGCGATCATCTTACAGAGCTCCGTGGATCGTCCAATGTACCTTTTGGACATGTTTCGGCCACGATTATGTGCGTGATGTTGTATCTAGGGTATTTAATATCGTTGGTTATATATCATATCGCAATGCTCATGCTGGCTTGGCAGTGCAGATTGGTGGGTGCCTTCCGAAGCACGGAGGAGCTCGAGATAATACATTTCTGGTCACCCATCCGACGGCCGGCCATTGCAAAAGTTGCTTAACTTCCACGATCGCATGCCGGCGCGCTAACCGAAAAGTATGGCAAAATAAATTCTCACAGATTATACTCACTTGTAATGTGGAATACACTAGAATATTTGAACGTGACAGAATAGCATCCGCCGCTACTGCAACTTTGGCAAAAGACAGCGGGCGCGAGTAGTATTCAACGTTTTTGTGCTGAAATAAACACATAAATAAATTTATTAATTTTTATATTTATTTGATGAACAACCCATTAAGCACTAACTATACAAAAACAAATGTTACATGGAGTAGCAATTGTAGAACCAAAACATTTTTTGTATTTTATTTTTATGGCATTATTTTTCATCATATTTTTAAGTTAGCAACAATGTGACTGTTATTCTGTTTACTAAATTATGGCGAACTGCTACCTATATACGAAACCTTCCCATTCACTGTAAAGAAAGTGTACCAAATATTGTCAACACAAAAATCTACGATAAAACATTAATGGGTTTAATATGACCAATCAACATTAATCTATGCTACATTGTCTTCTTGTAAAGAAACAAATTATAGACCAAAAGTAAACCGCAGCGAAGTAGTTTTTTCCTCGTTTTAGTCTGATTAATATGAAGACTACTACTACTGACTACTACTACTAAAGCGTAGCGCAGCACAAAATAGCATAGCTTGATGTTAAATGGTAATAATTGCAACCATATACAAATTAAAAGTAACTCCCACGTAGTCTATGATAAGGGATTGTCTTGTCTATGTCACAAAAATAATAAAATGTTGTTTTTCTACGAACACCAAGTTGTTCTCTATTTCTCTTATGAGGTCACACACCAGTCGCAAAAATGCTACTTATATCATAAATATGAACCACAAAGTTTCATATTTATAATAATCATCAGGAAAAGTTTTTTTCCTGATGATTATTATACTGAACGGATTTGGATAAAATTTGGTACGCATATTGATTATCACCTGGATATACATAGGATACTTTGTATCCCGGAAAAGGGTATGTTAGATTCCTTTGGGATTGTCAAAAAACTAAAGTTAACGCGGACAAAGTTGCGGGCGGCCGCTAGTCACCAAGATACATAATGACACTTACTATGAATCTATCATTTTCATTCTTAACAACTCCCATTTCACAGCCCAATAATGCTAATTTCTGGAGGCTGTGCGCATGTTTGTGTATCAAACTTTCTGTTATTATCCTGGAAATAAAATAAAAACATATATAGCATCAACATAATACATTATGTGATTTTTTTTAAGTGTGTATGTTGTTCGTCGCAGATGACCTTTACAGCGTCACCGGGTTTGGGGACAGCGAGATCCTAAGGGGACCTCAAGCCAAGAATTGGCGAGTGCCTCTAGAGGTATTCCAGGCTGATGGCATCTCCCCACGGGGGGAGTCTCCTCTCCTTCGGAAGGCTCCAGACCACTCGAACCTGAGGGGATCATCACATTATGTGATGTTCTGGACTGGCACTTATATTTAAGACACCAACCCAAAGGCGTGTTAAAAAGAAATAAGCAATTTCGAAGAACAACCATCATCTGATCTGAGACCTAAAATAGAGATATATGCATGAAACATGTGAAATATGTTTCGTTTATGAATTATTCCATTTGACGATAATAACAAGATTTTGTCAAGTGGCATTTTTGTGTGTAGATACCAGTTGTTTTTGTACAATTATTAAAAATACATTCAATTTACTGAAACTATCTTTGATACCACTACTATCTTTGATCGAGACATACTTTTAATATGCAGATGTTTTAAAATCTGGAAGAACACTGTGTCAGCTGGCATATTCTATAATTACTTTTCGTTTGCACTTTCTGTTTTCATTAAAACAATACAATTATGAACAACCTCGTCGCGTTCGTCACTGTATTTGCGTAAGTGTTACGCATAGACAAAGGAGCATTTACTTATCCAAAAGTATCAAGTTATTTTGTTATGTTATTTCATGATTGTTATCCTTAACGTGTAGGGTATAATGTTCAGAATCGCTCGAGGGTATTTGACATTTTACGGCAACCTGATATAACCTATTGTGAACTATAATAGTAGCGAAGCATGACGCAACTGTCTGGGAGAAGCAATTGAAGCCTGTTACAGTAACTTTCATGCTTTGGCTGTGTCACTTTTGCTTCTGGATAACATTTTGCATCGAAAAAGCAAATGTTGACATTTTGTGTATCATAAATAATAGAAATCGGATAATCGGATGCATATTTACCTAAAGTTTAGATGTTGGCTATTATGGAAAGCACATTTTTATCGAAAAAATGCCGCCTTTCCGGGAAATTCATATTTAAGTGAGTCCGTGAGATCTAATAAACCCAGATAGATACAAATGACAATCCCTGTGTGTATAACATAAAACTATTGTGTAAGATGTACTTAGTAAATAAATAAATAAATTTATATCAATTAATGTTTTCTTATTAACCACACCACCATTTCTCTTACAACAACACTTACACGAATAGGAAATCAAAATTTAACTTTAAGTAAATCCGATTAATTATGCGATCCCGGAATCTCGTGATTTCATTTGTGTTATAAATATTACAAATAAACACCACAGTTATGTGTGAGCAAATACTCACAACTTGAACAAAACTTGGTTCTGATTGCGTCGTCGTTGCTCTCGGGTGTGAGGGCTGATTGGTTCGATTGTTTGATGTCGCGTCGTTTGATTGGCTATTATGTATTAGATGTTAGTGTAGTAGGGCGAGCCGACGACATCGGTAGCCGTACAAACGTTCTATGATCACACTTCTATCCTCTTTCTGTGTTCTGTGGTACGGAGTTGATGTAGCGCGATACCTTTATAAATCCATACAAAGAATATCAACCACACGAATTGAGGCGAAGCTGATCTGGTACCGGGTGGGCCTAATAAGCTGATATTTATGCTGGCACTTAAAATCACTTCGCAGTCTCTAACATTTGTTCCCTGTACAATATGATAAGTATATACTGGCATGTGAATTGCCAGAATAAATTAACTACATACTTATTGCTTTAACTCACCGCTTTAGTTTGACGACAGGCAGATTCGGATGTTCTATAAGTAAGTGGCTTGGTCCTATGAATATTAATTCGTATAATTTCAGTGTGTCGAAGAATCTAAAAAGAAAGAATTATGTAATTAAAATTCGGTTATTTTTTATAAAAAAAAGCATGATAGCATTTAGTCACTGTCGATTAAGAATCGTTTTTTTTTTTGTTAAAAGTCCATGTCTACTGTAAGGGGCTGTTCAAGTATTACGTAAGCACTATAGGGGGGCAGGGGGGTCTCTGCTTTGCTTATTTTTGATGTCTTGGGGGGTGGGGGGTAGAGATGGTGATTACGTCAGCATCATCGATTAAGCCTTTTTAAGTACTGCTGGTCATGAACCTCATGAAAGCTCATGAATCAATAAAAAAAATAGAATACATTAAAGGAAAAATGCATATAGGTACCAATGTTTACGTAATGATGGGGGGGAGGGGTAAGAGCTTTGCTTACTTTTGCTGACGGAGGGGGTAAATAATTGTAATAAATCTGCTTACGTAATACTTGAACGGCCCCTAACACTAAAATAAACAAGATAACATTGCGCAATTATTCGTCGAATATTTGTATGCAAATCTAATATGTAGGTATATAAAATTCTCGTGTCACGGTGTGCGTAATTGAACTACGCCGTAACGGCTCGACCGATTTTCGTGAAATTTTATAGGTCTGAGAATCTGACAACATCTATTTTTTATCCTCCTAAATGTTAAGGGTCCATCCTTAATTTTTTTTTGGTTAAATTTTATGTTTTTATTTTTTTATGATACATACAAAAATACATTCAACCCTAAATTTTCACCCTTCTACCACCAACGCCTATTTTTTATATCGGTACTAAGTCTGCTAGGACAGCTAGTATTTACATAAAATAGAGAACATTTAGTCGGAATCTGCCTACATAACGATTCAACCTAGAGTCGAACATCTGGGACAGCAAAACAATAATTGTAAGACTTTTGAATAGAAGTTACAAAGCTCGAATTTTCTTTCGTATTTGTATATTTTTGAAATCCTCTTATTTGTAAAAGAGAACATGCACCTATTTGTAAAAATGGCAGATGTACTAGATCGCCACAGACGTGATAACAGTAGACTTTGCATGCCCAACTCCAGAACAGCCCTAATGGGAAATAATATATTCTGTATGGCTCCTCGAATATATAATAAACTCCCAACATCTTTGAAAGATTTAAATTATAATGTGTTTAAACAGAAAATTAAGAAACTATTAATAGATAAATGTTGTTATGGTGTATCAGATTTTTTAACTGACAAATTGTGATTTTATTTTATTTTTATTCTACTATTTGAATTGCAAGTACATATTGACATGTTATTTATAGTTTTGACCAATTTTATTGACATTTGATTATTAAATTGACATTTGAAATGCAACTAACGAATTACTCAATTTAAATTTGAAGTTATTAGTATTTTGTTCAGTTGCCCAATTTTATTGACATTTAATTATTGAATTGACAGTTTTGACATGTATTAACAGTTTCTGCCCAATTTACTGATATTTGATTATGATTGTTTTGAAAGTATTGACATATTATTTAAAGTGTTTGCCCAATTTATTGTCATTTTTTATTGTATTAACATTATTGACCTTTTCATTTTTGTAATTTGAATCTTAGAATAATAATAATGAATATAAATAATAATTAATTTGTATGCCGATATTGGCACAACATGTTATGTACTTAGCTAATTATCGCTGACAATCTTACTTACACATGTTGTTACAAATAAAATTTCTTTCTTTCTTTATCACCTCTTTAATTTCACCCCTACACCATGCATACCGGCAGCTTAGTATTCTTCTGAGGAGCTCGATGGCGCAAGTGGTTAGCGCGTTCGGCTGCGATCGTTGAAGTTAAGCAACTTTCGCAGAGGATGGGTGACCGAAAATTTACTATCTCGAGCTCCTCCGTGCTTCGGAATGCACGTTAGGCCGTTGGTCCCGACTGCATCTGCAGTCGTTAGCACCCAGTTTGGGTCGTTCATGGCCCAAACTCCCTATTCCATGCATAGGGAAGTCCCTGTGCCCCAGCAGTAGGGTCATTAATAGGCTGATGATAATAATTATTCTTCTGTCATCAGAAACGTTACAGGAACCCTATTCAAAAGACTGACGATTTGAGATTGACCAAAATCATGGCCGATTGTTGTAATTTTCTTTGCTGCCCTAGATGTTCGATCCAAGTAAAGGGCTCCGGTATTGTGGGAGTCCTTCACAAGGTGTAAGGTATTTTGCCGCGCTCGAGTTAATCACAAAATCTCCGCTTGGGCTCCCGTATTATAGGTCTTTCGCCCTTTTGTCTTCACATCAAATTGATAAGGGAGAATATAAATCTTTTTATTACACAATACGTAAAGAAACAATTCGAAAGACATCAATACAGTAGCTATTACACAATGGGTGGTCTTATCATCGGGAGCTCGATGGCGTTGGGTCTGCAAACATGGAAGTTTCGCAAAGACTGGTCAATGATTAAAAAATGTATTATCTCGAGCTTCTTTATACGCTGTGGTTCGAAAGACTAAACTGATTCCTCCTTGATTTTTATCACTAATGAAATTATTTTTATACATAAAATATAATTTCAGTCATTCTATGCTCCTATTACTTCCTTTTTTCCATAACTTGTGTTTCAAAGAAACTAGAGACCCTTGAAAAAGGCCCAAAATAAACAATTTTTATCACCACTAGGTACATACGTCTAGTGTGAAGATTTAATAAGCATTTACAAAAAAAGGAATACATACAGCATAATATAACAACTTATTATTCTTTGTGTAAAATTTCTTTTACATATATGTAATTTTCGAGGAGGAAATCGTTGAAAGCCAAGCCTCGAATTTTGCAATTTTTATACGCAATTTTTAGCGTTTGCTACTGTTGCCCCTATCGCACGGAATTTGTCAAAGTGCGGCAGCAATAGTTTTTTCAAATACCTATTTCTCAAATATCTCTCAGCTCGCATCCGCTCTTAAGACGTTGGTCTCGGTTGCATCTGCAGTCATTAGCACCCCAATACTCCCCTGTTCCATTCATTGATAAATTAGGAATTCTTTTCAGACAACCCGGTAAACAAGGAACAAATTAAAATTTATGACATATAAATAAAGAGTTGTGAGCAAAACAAAGTCCAAAGAGTTGTTGCAAAATATATGAAGTGGCATAATTACTTAAAAATGTATAGGTAAAAATTATATGCAAAATCAGATAAGTTGCGTTACAACTGATTGTGCTACATTCGATACTTCGAGTTGCATCATACGACGTGATGCTAGGGCAACCGACATATCGATTACACATGCTTCAATTCAACACAATGCCGTAATTTTATTGTTCATGCGCAAGCATTTTTTACTTTAGCAACAATACATTAGTACCTATGTTTAACGAATATCGTCGCTATCGCTGCGTGATAAAAGCATTGTCAATGACAAATCGTAACCATCAATGTGGCCTCAACTGTACTAGATTACAGCTGACAAAGTATTTTTATTGAGCATTGTATTTCTGCAAATTACTATTTAGAAAACAAAACGTTTAATAAAGACGTCTTTTGCTATGGCATACTTTCTTAAAATTTAAGTAAACCCAGTTTGTAATCAGCTTATATCTTATTGAATAAAAATTCATGTATATTTACAAAAGAGCTTCAGATTATACAATACTTTTTTTCACTCCTCCTATAAATCTTTAGGCCAGACAAGACTTGCAAATGAATACAGACGCAAATGAATACAGACAGTAGTCTTATGTCATTTATCGCACCTAGTTGTTTGTAGGATTGTGATAATAACTTTTTACTTCATTATATTTAGAATAATAATGATATCAATAAAAAAATGGTTGCCTGTAAAGTCGGTTTTACGGGCGAAGATTTTACGTGACAACGTCTTTTTCTCGGTAGAATATTTATTGATATGAATATAATTAAATTGCACAATAGGAACAAGGAATTGAATGAAAATAAGAATTGCACAAATTTTAACTATAGAAATATATTTTGTTTACTAAAACATTGTACATGTAAACTTAAACTTAACACGAGAGACTCATCGTAACGTTACCGAGCGTTACACTTTTTCATAAGTGACTCCCAGCCGCAACCTAATTTAAGACGTTGTCACGTCAATAAATCATTAGTTTGATCCAAATAAATCATTTTTTAGGACTTAAATCTCTCTCTTTAATTATAACTTTTTTTATTTTTTTTTTATTTAATTATTACGGAAATACCAATTACAATAATTTATATTTATAATGTTAATTAAGTTAATGATAATAGGGATCAGCAACACCAAAAAAATAATCACAAAAATGTGTAATAAAAATGTAGGTACTCATAAACTTATTTATATTAATATCCTTGAGGAGCTCGATGGCGCAAGTGGTTAGCGCGTTCGGCTGCGATCGTTTAGGTTAAGCAACTTTCGCGGTGGTTGGTCATCAGATGGGTGACCAGAAATTTTCTCTCTCGAGCTCCGTGTTTCGGATGGCACGTTATTCCGTTGGTACCGGCTGCATCTGCAGTCGTTAGCAATTCCCCTATTCCAACCATAGGAAATGCTAGAAACTGCCGCCTATACTGGGGTATAGGCGGCAGTGGGGTAATTAATAGGCTGATGATGATGACTTATAGGTTAGTATACTTACTGTGGCAGCACATAGCTCATGAATTTGTCAAGCTCCGCATCGTTGCAATCTAAATAGATGTGAAGTTTGTTCGTGTATTTCCTGAACATCCGCGTCAGGAACAAGCATTTGTCGAGTTGCTTTGCTCTCAGTTTGAGTGTTTCTCTGAAAAACAAGTAGCTGCTGTTAGCTGAGCTATAAAATTAAAGAAAAGTGATGTTCACTCTTAGGCGCGCCTTCATCGCCGAATCTGTGCAGGCTCGTTTCGTTTTCGTTTCTGTACCAAATCTGTACAGATTCTATACCGAATGCATGTAATTAAATGAGAGCTTCCTCAATGAATCGTTTCGGTTCAGATTCTTTACCGAGCGCACACTTCTCTATACCTAGAATTAATGAATCACTCAACTCGGCAAACAACGCAACAAACAAAACGATACGAAACCAAAACCTAGCCGGTCAACAAGTGGTTCTCGGTAATGAATCTGTACCGATTCGGTACAGAAATGATTCAGTGAGGAAGACACCTCACACAGAATAACTTGCAAAAAAGCTTGTTTAATGTACATATCAATAGTTTAAAGTTGCTAAGGTTAAATACCAGAGAATGCACATGTAATATTAATCTTTACGTAAATATGTTGGCTATTTAGCACATGGCCCACATTTAAGAAGCATCATCAACGATTGTGAAGCTTCACTTGCGCATTGCCTAAATTGGCCCTATCTCTATCCTCTGGAACTCTGACAACCTTACCTAAGAAAAACCATTATCACCAATAGTTGGTGTAATAAGACTTTGGTCTTCTGTAAGGTCGATGTGCATAGGCGTTTGAGCAAAAAAGGAATATTTTATAATATTTATGTTTTTTAAACATTTTACTGTTAGATTTTTCATAAGTTTTTTTTAGTATTATTATCTTTAGGCAATATTTTGTAAAGATAATAATATTATTTACTAGCTGTGCTGCGTGGTGTTACCCGCCGTTTATTAGGGATATTTTTCCGCAGTATAACGTAGCCTATGTGTTAATCCAGGGTGTCAGCTAACTCCATACCAAATTTTATTAAAATCGCTCCAGCCATTTAGACATGAAGAAGTAACAAACATACACACTCACTCACTCACAAACTTTTGCCTTTATAATATTAGTGTGATAGTGTGATTGTGCAATCACACAATTCTTTACTACCTAATGTAAATAATCTACTCTAATTACAGCAAATAAATCATTTAATTTCTTAGTATTGCTTAATATACTTTAGCCTAAGGGAAAAATGTCAATGTCCTTAAACTAGGCTGCATCACATAAGTAACAGTGAATATAATTAAATTAAATAGATAAAACTGTACTTTCTGGGCACAGAAGTAGATACTTTAAATTTTTTTGTTGTAAAGATCAAAGCTTTTTTCTTGGGCTTCACAAGGTGCTGCCGTGGCTTGAGTCTTATGGTCACAGCAATAACCTAACCTAGTGTGAAGTAGCAACTCATGGGCTCAAAAAGAGTTAAGCCATTAAATACAAATTAGTATAAATGTATTAATAGGTACTCACTTATGTCCTTCATAAAGCAGAACAGAGCTGCGCCAATGGCGACAGACTGACATTGCTGCCACAGCATCCTCCGTGCTCAGGTGATCCAATATACACCTCAGTGGAAGAAGGGGCAAGCTTGCCCATTCTGATGACATCTAACACAACAACAACAACATTAATTGTAATAATAGAAAAATACTAGCTTAGCAAGTGGCCACCACTTACATCTTTCAAAGAAAAAAATGGATCCTATGTAAAATTTTGATTTCCCCGCCCTCAAGTTTAATTTTATTACAAAAACAAGTGTGTTCTCCCATTCTAAAATTCACCTAAATTTAAGTACACTTCCCGGCACATATATCTGAGCTTTTCAAGTGTTTTTAAAATTATTGCGAAACAATAAAGATATATTTTTGCTACAGACTGTTGAAACTTATTATAACACCAAGTGAGCCAAAAGATGTGTCTGGAAGAAAAGTTTGGGCTTAAAAATGTAATAAATCAATAGTTATCTCACAATTAAAATTATTACAGATAGAGGCCACAGATTATAATGTTATCTATGACAAGATTGCATTTTGATCTGTGAAAATTTATAGATTATGCATTACACTGTGAGGTGGGTTGATACATAAATAAGTATTTGAAAAATATTTGTAGGAATAAAATACTACCCAAACTACTTCTACAATAAAGGATGAAACAGGTTGTTAAGTGTTCTTAACATCCTGTGTCATCTCAGTTGAGTAAAATATTTTCTCAATGAATTATGAAGCTTAAAGGAAAAAAAAATAGTATAGTTATCAGATGTAATAAATTTTAGAACTAAATAAAATAATGTTTGTTACTATGTAATATTTACATGGTTTAAATTACATGCAAAAGAAAATACAGATCAAATTACAATAAAACAAGTAATAAAGAACATTATGGTAATTAAATTAATTTGAAGAATGATAGTGACATTTTATAACAGACAAATCATCAAGAGCTATTTATTATTGAAGTTAATTTGAAAAGTGCACTCCCTTCAGAGACAAATAATTATTTAAGAGTACCTACATTAGTCGTAGTACAATGAAGCTCTTTATACTGTTCTCTAATCAATAAAATACAACCATACCTTAATTTGTCTTTAATACATTTTACAGTATTGTAGACCTAACGCAAATATTAACGAGATTTTCTTATATAAAAAATCGCATTCAAGGGTATTTGCTTATTAATTGTAGAAACAATTTAAACGACATATTATAGTTGACGACGTAGAATAACAAAACTCAGCTGTTTAGCGAAAGGTGTGTCGACATAACAGCTGTTTACGAGAAAGTGGGTTAACATGAAAACGCATAAATTCAAGTCTTCAGCAGAATTATAAGAAAAAATACATATTTAACTTGAGTATTGAATACTTTCTATGAACTAAAATATATTGTAGATCACAAATAAATATTAAATAGCGACAAGAGTACAAAGAAAGGTCACAAAATGTTTGCAACGTACCTCGTTTTGTAAGGAGTCGTTCGTAATAAAAGAGTTTTTTTTCCTTAAACACTACAGAAATACTTTTTACACTTCTTTGATCACTGTGCAGAGAAAGTAACTGCGATATTTTTAATTTACTGTGCCATTGCCACTCGCAGATTTTAACGCGCAAATTAACGAAACCCTGGTCAAAATTTGTATGTTCGGATACATGAACAATGTTGATGAGAATCTGAGAGGAAATGAAAATAAAAACTACAATTAACGTAACAAGATGAAAAAAATAAAGATAATCCACGTGAAGACGTTATCAACGAATGTATATTGATGAGTAGTCGTACACAGTATTTTTATTGATCAGCGTTCATGAATACCGAATAATTAAGTTAGAGTATCCGAACAAACTTCTTCCTTGACTTTACACTTGACATTTTATTTTTTAATTTATTGACAAATGAATGTACTAGTTTTGCCAGGGAATTGAAAAATAATTACTATGCTACTTTACCTCCTTTCTCCCTTTAACTTGAAACTTGTATTTATTACGTTATAAATAAAACCATTACTGGTAGATACTTACCGACTTACAGAATTTACTTTGAATAAGTAGCTCTTTTCATAAAATACAAACAATTACATTGAAAGAAACACAGGCAGAAGAAGCATTGGATATTTTAGTGTGGGCAACATTTTGAATAGCAATGGCGGCCAAAAATCAATTTTGAATTGAGTGTGACAGCTAAGTTATTAAGTTGCGAACTTTGTGAATTATTGAAATACGTAAATAAAAAAAAAATCTTTACTTTATTACTTGGAGCGTAATGAAACATTGATTTTTTTTCTTTTACTGAAGATAATAAGTGTGTTGGAATCTTATTAGTACATTTTGTATTTGTTTAGACTATTGTGGTCGATGATGTAAGAAACTGAAGGTCTGTTTTTGTGTATTGTTTTCTTGCGGATTGTTTGGAAGTGCGAACCATGGAGGGCGAAGAAAATATGGGGAATGCTGATAAAGAAGACTACGAAAGCAGTACTCACTCCACACCTCAAGAACATAAATCCTTTGCCGAAATGGCGAAGGATAAACTGGACAGTGGTAAGAAAACAAGTGCCTATGTAAGAAAAATATACTCGTTAAATTTATCAATGTATGTTTTCGTGTCCTGCTTTACTATTATCTCATAATATTCAAAGATATTTCCAAGGGATGTGTAATTCCTCTAAATATAATTGTACATAATATTATGTGTATAATATGTACCACTTTTTTAATAAAAACACATTTGTTATACTGATATATACCATAAGTATATTAAAACTTTATCATCCCAAAACATACAATATTTAAAGTAGTTTTTCATCACGTAAAAATCTTTAAATATTTTATGCTTTGGGATGTTCAAGTTTTAAACGCTCATCCTGAAAAAAAAAAATATTTTGCATAAGTGACAGTGTCGCATCGGAGGTGCGATAATTTTAATTGAATTTATGTGCGAATGAGACCAAGTTGAAATTATGTTTAAAGAGCATTGTGTTGGACAGAGAGGTTTTATGGAAACCGAATTTAATTAAAAAGAAGAAAAACTATGCATTTTAATAAATGTTCAGCAGCATGGGCTGTCACTCCCACAAACCCTTGCCTTTCTCTTCCTTCTGTAAAACCAACAGTCCTTAATATATACATGTTTCTGCTATGAATTGATATATACTGTTTGATTTTAATTTTTGGACAAAAGGTTTGTTTGTAGGTACCTAATTAAGGAACATACTACTCCTAATATACAGGGTGGTCCAATTAGTGATATCAACAAATTTTTTTTAGATTCCTCGCACCTGTGGGTATCCGAAAATATGTTCCCCATGTATGTTCCACGATTTTTCTTTATAATTTTTGTTTTCGAGTTATATTTTTTTTTTTGTGTATTTTTAATGATTTCTGCCAATGAGGTTTTTGTAGTAGGTAATAAAAAAAATAACTCGGTTTCCTGAAATTACTTAAAGTTACTCAAAAAAGGCTTGAAAGTTGGAACTTTTGTTTTTAGCAGGATTTACTCAAACATTCAAAACTCATTAAAAAAAATGTACTGAATCAGCCTATTTTTGCTGTAATAGGGGTGATGACGGGGTACAGTAAACGTGAAAAATACGTGTCCAATACTTTTTGATAATCTACCTGATAAACGAAGAAAAAAAAATTAGTCATCATCCCTATTGGCCTACGAAGGTGAGGTGAAATATCATTGAAACACAATTAAATCATTAAAAATTACTTTATCTACTTTTTATCATTGTTATGGTAAATTAAACTTAAAAATGTAATTTCAAATTAAATTTAACTGAAATTACTGAAAAATAACTTTAGCATGTGGAATTTTATAATAATTTCAGTTTCACCACTAAGAATATCGATGGTTAATTAGTTTTGAGAGAGAGATCGTTTGAAATAGAGTAGGCCACCAGGTGCGAGGAATCTAAAAATAATTTGTTGACGTCACTAATTGGACCAACCTGTATATATATATATATATATATATATACTATTTTAGTATGGCATAATCTCAGAATTTTAAATATCTTACAACTAAGTCATACTAATGAGGAGGAACACCCCTTTTTCTTCTTCTCCTTCTTTCCACCACCAAAAGTAATGAATGATCCATATTGATGATGCTGAAACTATAGGTAAACTGTTTAACTGGGACCTCGTCTGCAGGGTACAGAGTGTGGGGGAGAACAACAACGGCACGGTAATATTATCTATACAGTATTCTATCTTCATACAAACGGTCGGAAAGCGTGTCATACCTACGCCACTCGAGTTCGCGCGGCACCCGGTGGGCATCCAGTCGCGAATGCGCCGCAGCGACGATCGAACGGTGTGAATTGTTTTTTAAGCAGTTAGCAGTGCTTAAACGATTATATTGTAAATATTTGATTGACTTAAGTAAATACCTACATAATTTAATATGGCAAAGAGCAATAGTCGATATTGTGCTGTTTTTGGTTGCTTGAACTCTTCAATAATTATCCTTTTTATACGAATGCGTATTTATTATACTATTAAATTTAACAATAAAGCTTTTCTTACGTCTCAGTCGAGGCTTAAATATTTTTCTGTCTCAAATCTATTTTTTTTTATTAAACAAAAAATAGATTTGAGACAGAAACAACACTTAAAATAACATGTATTTTATCTAACAGTTCCTATTTCATTCACAACATTTTTTTAACATATGAAATAAAATATTTACAATCCCAAAACTAGAAAGAAACTCAATTATGTAGATGAAATAAAAATACTGTAGGCGGGCAGCCCTACTCCGTGGATACGCCCCGCTCGGGCGGAGACAATTATTTCAAGGACAGGGCCGAGTCACAATACTATATAAATAATATTACCGTGACAACGGGGACCATGCGGTGGTCACATGTAATTTTGGCAAGAATGTGCCTGCCGCCCGCACTTCACGCGGTCCCCGTTTTCGTACTCTCCCACACCCTGTACCTTGCAGGCGAGGACTCAGTTAAACGGTCTACCTATAGCAGACATTGCGTATTGTGAAGTAACCAATTTGAAACATGCGAAAAAAGATTCAATTCAAAATTCAATTCAAAATTCAATATCGTTTATTCAGTCTAGGCTGTTACAAGCACTTGTGAATGTCGAAAAGCTACGCCATCGGTTCGCAAATCTACGGCGGGAGACCTTGTACTGAGAAGAACCGGCAAGAAACTCAGCAAGGGCTGTTTTTTTCTCCCTGTATTATATACAGAGTCGTCAAATTGAAAAATGACTTCAATATGAGGTAACTCATAAAGTCACTTTTCATTACAAACAAAAAAAAATGCAAATAATATAAAAATTATGACTATAAAATAAAAAATTAAAATATGTAAAAAAATGGTTTAACAAAGTTTAGGAATGACGTGTCCTACCGCTTAGGCAAAAAGAAAATAATAATAATGAACGATTAAAGTTTAGAACAACGATTAATAGTAGTACCCAGTGAATTAAGAGCAGACTCATCTCCGCTGGCAGCACCCGTTCACGAGCATGACGCATGAACCAGCCATCGCTTCGCTCAACCATTTTTTAGGGAACGCAACGACCCGCCTCACACGACACCACCGAAGAGATTTTTAAGAGAGCATGACTACTCATAACCACACATGGATACTATGTTACTAAAATAGAAAAAAAAAAATACATATAGGTACCAGTGTACATTATTATAACAAACTATAAACACAACGGCAGGACACATGCATGTGATTACCTAAACACTGTTGTCGACCCTGGCAATACTCTCCCAACCCAAAACCAGTCAAACATCAGTCCCCCCCTTTCAGTCTGTATAGAGAATGACAAGGATACACCACTGCAAAACCAAGTTCAGGTCTAGAAAAACATACCAGAATCCACACCGCCATTAAATCTTTATCAGAGAAATAATATATGTTCACTTACATTTTGATTGCTGTGTCACACAGTATAAATACAAGTTGTGTAATGTAAAATACAATCAAAAATTAATAATAATTATCATTACAATAATAAAGTAGTATAGAGCAGACTCATCTCCGCTGGCAGCACCCGTTCACGAGTATGACGCATGAACCAGCCACCGCTTCGCTCAACCATATTTTAGGGAACGCAACGACCCGCCTCACACGACACCGCCGAAGAGATTTTTAAGAGAGCATGACTACCCATAACCACTAAAACCAATCTGCAAAATGGTTACTTAGAGTTAAGGTAATTTATCTGTACGACACTGCAAACAAATACAAAACAATTTTGCAGTTACAGCCATGCAGTTTTGTCATTCAAGTATTCTTTAATAGTATAATAGCCTTTCTTAACTAAACAACTTTTAATGTGACATTTGAACTCATTTATGGGTAACTCAAGAACAGCATCAGGAATTTTATTGTAAAAATGTATACCTTGACCCATAAAAGATCGGTAAAGCTTCTGTAACCTGTAGGCTGGCAATGCAAGCTTGTTTCTATTCCTAGTATTAAAATTGTGTACGTTACTGTGTTTGGTATACAAATTGATATTATTTTTAACGAGGAGTATGCAATTGTAAATGAATTGAGAAGCAACAGTCAAAATGCCAATTTCTTTAAATTTTTCTCTAAGAGATGTTCGGCTACTCAATTGATAAATAGATCTCACAGCTCTTTTTTGTAAAATGAAAATACTTTCAATATCAGCTGCTGTTCCCCAGAGTAAAATGCCGTATGATAAGATACTATGAAAGTAACTAAAATATACAGTCCTGGCAGTATCTATATCAGTAAGTTGTCTTATCTTTCTTACGGCATAAGCTGCTGAACTAAGTTTACCAGCCAAAAGCGTAATGTGATGACTCCATTGCAGTTTTGAGTCTATCGTTATACCCAAGAATGTAGTCGAGTCTACTAAATCTAATTTTTCATTATTTAATTTAATTCCAATATGCTCAACTTTTACATTAGGTAAGGAAAATTGAATACACTTGGTTTTATTAGCATTTAGCTTTAGATTATTGACATTAAACCATTGCAGAACTTGAGAGAGAGCATTATTTACATCGTCATAGTTGTTTTTGCGCCTGTCAACGTTAAATAATAAAGATGTGTCATCAGCAAATAATACAATCTCACACAAATTTTCCACAAAAAATGGCAAATCATTTACATATATTAGAAACAGGAAGGGACCTAAAATTGAACCCTGGGGAACGCCCATTTCCACATGAGATCCAGATGATCTAACACCATTTACCTCTACAGTTTGTATTCTGGAACTGAGGTACGACTGTATCAATTTATATGCAGTACCTTTGACTCCATAATGACTCAATTTCAATAACAGCGTGTGATGATCAACGCAATCAAAAGCTTTGGATAAGTCGCAGAACACTCCAAGGACATTCTGCGACCTCTCCCAAGCCTCCAATATACTCCTTACAAGTGCAACACCCGCATCAGTAGTAGATCTACCTCTAGTAAAACCAAATTGTTTCCTATGCAAAAGTTTATTAAGGTTGAAATGAGGCATCAATTGTTCCAGAATAATTCTTTCAAATATTTTACTAAGAACCGGTAATATTGATATAGGCCTATAGTTTCCAGGGTCATTTCTATTTCCTGATTTAAAAAGAGGTATAACTTTACTGTATTTCATTAAATCCGGAAATACTCCTTGATCAATACAGTTATTAAATATATCAACTAGATAAGGAGCAATAACGGGTATTATACTTTTAATAACTTTAGTAGAAATACCCCATAAATCACTTGTATTTTTTTGTTTAAGAGATTTAAAACACTTAATAACATCAATAAAATTAATATGTCTGAACTGAAACACGTTATCACACCTAGGTACATATTTCTCGAGCAAAGTCTTGGCAGCCACCGATGAAGAACTTAAATTAGATGTAGCCACTAAAGGAATATTAACGAAATATTCATCAAAAATATTAGCGATATGTTGTTTAGATTTTATTAACATGTTATTCGACTTAAGTTCAACAATATCGTCACGTGACCTTTCTTTGCCTGTTTCACGATTTATAACATTCCACGTTGTTTTGATTTTATTATTCGATTTACATATTTTATTTTTAATAAAATTAGATTTGGCTGTTGCACATACCTTTTTAAAGGTTTTAGAATAACATTTAACGTAATCAATAAAACCTTGTGAATGATTATATTTTCTTAGATGATACAATTCATAAAGTTTGTTTCTACTTTTATAGATACCAGTCGTAGCCCAGTCACAGAACTGTAACTTTGGAGTAAGTTTCGAAGTTTTTAAGGGAAAAGCCTTATCAAATTCATTTCTTATTAGATTAAAAAGATCCCCAAAAAGAATATCAGGATCATCATGTGTCCATGGGATATGAGAAATACTATAGTCAATGTTTTTTTGAAAAATTTCTAACCGGTTTTCTGTTACTGGTCTCAATTCAATCACTTTAGATTCATTTGTTACATCTATTTTATATTGTATTTTTAAGCCATAATGGTCAGATGTAATACTATTGAAAATGGATTTATTATCAGGAGTACTATCTGTAAATACGTTATCCAAACAAGTTGCTGAATGTGATGTCACCCTAGTAGGCTCAAAAAATTGATGGGTCAAATTAAAACATTTAAATAATGATATTATACGTACTGACATTGAATTTTGTTCAAGAATATTAATATTAAAGTCACCGCAAACAACCAAAAACTTATTTTTCGACTTTAACTTTTTCAGTACATCCTCCATCACAGATTCAAAAATGTTGAAGTTACCTAGAGGGGGTCTGTATACGCATACTATTATCATCTCATTTAATTCCACACAAGACAGCTCAATGCTACGTTCAATTGAAAGGCCAGCTATATCCTTTCTATCCTTACATTTAATATTTTTGTTAACAAAAATCAATGAGCCGCCATGTATGGCTGTCCTACGAACATAAGCACTCAACAATTGAAAGTTGTTTATGTGATACGACATTTCACAAAGCTTGAGCCAGTGTTCTGTTAAACATATAATGTGTATGTCCTCACTTTTTGAATACAATTCTAATTCTAGGTCTTTGCCAGCCAAACCTTGTATATTTTGATGAATAATATTAATAACTCTTTTATTAGGTTTGGCTTTTGTCTTTAAGCTCAGTTTAAAACTGGGCTGGTTAAGTTATTAATAGAATTAATATTTCTTTTACTAGAAATACTAACACTATTTTGTCGAATACAGTTAGTTATACCATGTATAACCGTATTTTGTATATTAAAAGCTAACAAATTAGCTATCTGGGTCCTATATTTCTTTGCGAGATACATAGTATCTGTAGTCAACTTAAAATATCTAATATATTTATTTATATCGAAATATAAAAATACGTCACTATGACTATTAATTAAATTATAAAGACTTAAATTTAAATTAAAGATGCGCTTATTCTGTTCCCTAGATAAGTTATGTGCATATGGGAAAGCGCTAATTATTATTTTACAATTAGATTCAGATTGAATTTTCAATAAGTGCTCAACACTTTTTGTAATGTCCCGTATTGATAATCTGGAACTGTCACCACACAAAAACAGTAAGTTAGTATAACTATCCACATTATGGTGGGTCAAGTTATTTACAATTTCATGAAATGATTTTCCAGGAGTACATATATTTATAATGTTTTCATCACTGGAATTTTTAATTAATAGTCCTAGCCCCTGACCTAACTTGTCTGAGAATATCATTGTTTTATTTTTATTCAAGTTTTCAGAAAGCGCTGGCTTGAAAGGAGAGTTATTATATGTTGTACCAATTGTTTGTATATAGACCGATGAATGACCAGAAGTATGGGAAACTTGATTATTATCTGTATTTACATTTCCTTCTAATGATAATGTCAATGATGATTGATTTGAAGAACCAATCAATTGACTTTTAATCAAGGAGTCATAACGTTCTGCGTTGAAATTGCACAGTTCAACTAATTCTGTTGCAGATTTTATGTGCTCAGTTATTTGACTTTGTGCACTAGCATATTTATGTTTCATTGAATCTAACGAATCATGTAAGTTTTGAATTTCTAATAGTAATTTCTTTGTATCCCGGTCATACATCTGCCTACTTTCATGTAATTTTGTATTATATATGTCAATGGAATCCATCAGGTTAAGTTTTTCCTTTCTAAGAGCTATATTTTTATAAAAACAATTGTTTTTTTTGACAAGTTTCTCAGTTTTTTTTATGAATTTACTGATTCTGATATATTTTTTTAATTTTTTTACACTTGTTATACTATTATGTGAAACCTTAGTACTAGCTACAGGCTCTAAATTTAAGTTCATGTTTAAAGGTAAGTTTAAGGGTCCTCCGGGAGATGCCATTAGTTCTTCAAATAGGCTTTGCGTGTGTGCAGTTTCTTGAAGTTGCTGAGCTTCTGTATAATGAGCTATTTGCTTGTTTGCTACACAGAGCTCTCTTTCAAGGTCCGTAATACGCTGTAGCGCCCTCTCAAAAGTGTCAAACTGCTGGTCATAAGTACTGATAGTACTATTCAGTTCGTCCCGTTGTAAAACAACTTCTACATGTTGAGAGTGTAGTTGGGAAAGCTCATTTTTGAGCTGGGTATTCTTATCAATGATTTTCTTGATTTCAGTTTCACTCTCATCACGTTCACGAAGGAGCTGACTGCAAGTTTCCTTTGTTAACTTCAGTTCTTCCAGGGTTTGCCTTAATTTAATTTCAGTGTTTTGAGCTGTAGCTTTGCGGGTCATCATTTTTGTTATTTGTATAAAAATCTGAAATAATTATAACAGTATAAGTTTCTTTTAATATACTTTAGAGACAAGGGCAATTCTTTTTATATATAATATAATTTGTGAAAGCAGATTCTTTTTTTTATGAAGAGGGACTGTAACTATGGGAAAAGTTAATGCTATGAATATTAATGAATAGTATTTATTATATTAAATACTTTAAAAAGCAACCATGTATACTTTCACAGCTCAAACAAAGTTGGTAGACAGAACAGATTCAATTTAATAGACTTATTTTAACTTTGTATCCAGCTTAATGTGACAGAAGTAAGTGATGTCAAATTTAAGTTAATTATTCAATCTTTGCCAAATCAAATATTGAATATTTGTTTATTATCATGTATTTTGGTAAACAATTGATGAAATGTTCGTGATAACTTATAGAATTAAATAGAATAGAATAAAAACAAAACTGTTAAACTTTGGATGAGATTGTTTTAGAATTACCTACATATTATAATACTTTGAACTGTTATATATTTATGAAATAATGAAAACAATACTCCCCAGGTTTAAGCAATAGCCATTCCAGAATATTTGGTGCTAATATTGCTTATCAGAGCCGATATTTCTTCAACTATCCGTTGACAGTTTGATGAGAACTTGATGTGTTGTTTATTCAAAATCCTTGTATTGAAACTTCGTGATTTCAATTTTACATAACTAACACAATATTATCTCACTGTTTATTGTAACTTTAACACGAACAAACACAATTAAAATAATTAATTATAAATTTAAATACGAGTACTAAAATTTGACAAGTGCACTCTTCAGTGTTGCCAGTTGTTGATGATGATGACATAAGCAAGTGAAAAAAGCATTAGGTACCCTTGTGAAAAGAATTTGATTACTTGCCTTTACTTTTAAATAAATAAGAAAAACTAAAACAGTTACCAGAAATAGTTTTGTGACTGTCCCCCTGCTGAATGTCTCTGCTACAATGTCTGCTCGATTCAGCCTTATTGCATTTTGCTCAGAGAGTAGTTTTTTAATTTTAATATTATGTCTGATTTGTGTATGTGATTTTGCCAGCGGGACGGGAGCTGCGAAGACGACTGCCGATGGCTGGACAACTTGGTGCACACTTAATGCATCCCAGGAGGCTCCTTTTGCACTCAACGCCAACGCAGCACACAGATGTTGTCCTAATATTTCCCAAAAGTAAGTATGCACACTTTCCTACGAAATCGAGCCACCTTTTATGTTGAAGTATAGAGCATTGTGTTGCTCAGATTGAATAAATTTTTGTGTAATTTATTGATCAATTGTAATACAAAAATACCTGTATAATCTGAACCCCTTCTAATGGGAACACCTATATCATCCGAATGTACTTCACCCATCACATTTATTTGCCAGAAACAATGCTTTTTCGTAAAAAGCTAGGCAAATATTTTTATTTGTCAGTAAATACCTCCTGATAAACTAAAATATTGGATTTCTTTAAAATTTCTTTTTTCCCGCTGCCGGAAAATGTTGACGAGGTTATGCGGGACTCCTACCTCTTCCTGCTCACCCGCTTAGTCAGCCTAAAGGACTGGCTGCTCGCCTGCTCGGGAGAGGAGGTCCCTAACCACTAAAAACCCAACAATGACCCTCACCTCTTTGTGCTTTTACAGCAAAAACGTCGTCTTTTCTACCCCTTCCTTCTTTTAAAGGCACAACACTGACGCTACAGAGCAGTATTACCATGCTCAGTATCGAAGTTCGCTGTGACTTAGAACCAAAGAACTACATCGAAAGCGTAATAAAAACAGCCTCATGTAAGCTAGGAGTCCCGACAAGGAGCGGCGTTTATTCACGCCTGAGCAATAGTGGATATTGTACAAGACGCTAGTGCACTCCTGCGTGGAATATTGCTCGCGCCTCTGGGATTGCTCCGCCGATTATAGTAGCGAGTGATACGCAGCATTGGCGATGAAGAGGTGACAGAACACCTCGAGCCTCTCCAATTACGCCGTGATGTGGCGTCATTAAGCGCTTTCTATCGTGAATATCACGGCGGGTGTTCTAATGAGTAATTATCGTTTCCTTCAGCCGGCCACGCGCGCTGACCTACGTTGTCTCTGACTTACTGTGTCCACTATTCCATGCGAACACAGAGATTTGGTAACTCATTTCTTTGCGCATTATCCGCAAATGAAATGCTTTGCCTGCTCATATGATTACGTGGATCGAGGTCTCCTCCCTCCCTACTAAAGCACTATGCTGGCCGGTAAGGTGAGAATGGATGGTATTGCCGGTAAAATTTCGTCTTCACTTAACACCAGGTGGAGCCGAGTTACTTGCGGACTATTTTATAAAAAATCTCACCTCGTCGAGCGAGTGGCCTTCGCCCGGCGAAGTTACAATAGTGGATTAGGCCGCGGAAACCGTGTCGGATACTTCCGCGAAATAGGTTCCAACTGGTATTCAGCATATAGATGATAACAATGTCCCATGTGGAGCTTTACTTGTGTTTTTTTTATAAAAGCAATATTTGTATATATCGTAGCATAATTTTTTATTAATCGAATTTTTGCTAAAATCCTACAAATTTTGCAAAAACGTGGATAATTTGACAATAGCGATGACATTGCTCAATCGTACTGTTATATAAAGCTCAACGCGGAGCTTCCTGGACTCCAATCAAGATTTTCACAAGAACCTTAATCAGACTCAAATTTCACACAAGTAGAGATGAAGTTGAAAATGCAAATGAAAGCACTTGACATGTGTTTTGTGATTTAAAGTCGGCAAATGAAGTTTGTGCACCTATTTCGAAAGTAGATATTTAGTCAAACATGTTGTGCGATTAGAAGTAGCAAAACTTGGCGCGGAATCTAGCTTCTACTTCAGCTATAACAATATCAGGGCAGAGTTCATTTGCCTCATTCCAATTCATAAATTCGCGGAATCATAAACATACCATTTTAACATGAGAAAATAGGATAATATTATTTTGTACAATACAACCTTATTTGCCCCACTTACAATTCTTCATTGTTACGACCATAATAAAGTGTTTCGAAGGTAAACTAAAATAAGCGATTGAGGGAATCGGTATTGCTTGAGTGAATGAAAGCTACTTGATTTGTTAACTTTGTGGAAGTTTGAATTGCTTTTGTGCCTACTATTTTTCATAAGGCTTACCAAAACCAATCCTCGACTTTTGAAGCTCATGAGACTGACTGCGCTGAGTGGATACACCCGCAAGGAATGAATTCGAGTCACATTTATTTCGGAATTATTGTGATTGTACTTTATTAATAGTTAGCAAATAATTTGACTCAAATACGACATTATTTTAAAAATTTATAGATTAACAAAATACTTATTACTTAAAGGTATTTTACCATTCCGTTTTCATGTCTCTCGAGTGTATCTAGATTTATAAACACATACATAGAACATGGCCATGGTACCTGTACCATAAATTGTAACATTAATAAAAGCCTTGCAACATTTGCGTGACTGCTTCTTGGAAATTCTGCCAATGTTCTTTGTCATTTTCGACAGAAATGGAGTTCAACTCTGGCAGTTTACATAAATTCTATGGTAATCGTATTTTCAGATATATTGCTACTACTACTGCTTATATATGAGTCAGATTTTATATGAACTTACATAAGAATATCATTTTATCGAGAAAAAACAAAAAATAAAATCGATGTGGAAGTCACTTGATCAAGGTGATGGTTTAAAACACAGATATAACATTGATCAGTTGATCACACAGACTCGGGGTAGGTAATATACATAAGTTCATATTCTGAAATTACCGGAACCTTGGAGATGGCGGCGGGCGTCAAGAAAACTAGGCAACTTATTCAACCGATGAATTAATATATTGACCCACACATGACTCATGGCCGGATTTCAGGGCAAGAGGCGGGGTTGTGGCCACAGGAGAGGGGCCCCCAAAACCGAAATAAATATTAGCAAAATTTGACGGGTCACCAACCGGGGGGTGCAAATCTTAAGTAGCCTGGGGTGACATAAAATACGCCCTAAAGACAGAAGGGACTGAGCGATATTTGCCTAAAATTGGCCGCACGATCGCTTCGTCTCTCTTACACTTATTTGGCCCAGTTTTACTTTATCATTGAAAAAGGAACAGTCTGTCCTTTGTTCTGTATGTCTAAGATTAGTACTAATGATGTTTATTTTTTTTCTTTGCCATTTAAACGTATTGTATTGTAATGGGAGCTGTATGGGTCTGGTGATAATTTAAAAAAGCTGATTATAAGTTGAGACTAAATTTAGATTTGGTTAAAACATAATAGTTACTTTTCTGCCATAAAATAGCTTTAGCAAAGAAAACATGACATTATCATTTATCATAATAATTATTTACAAGGTTTCATCTTAGGCAAAGTGTCGTTATACCGGAGCGTACTTGTCTGATTTCATCAAGGGTGTCTCAATGTCATCCAGGTCTGCCAGACAGCATGCTTCTGTGGCTACTGCAGAAGCTGAGGGGCAGTCGACCTCGTCTCCGAGTTTGTGTGCGTCAACACGCGACCACGCAGTGCTCAGCTTTCTACATTACGGCTGATGATGACGTGTGAGTATTCCTAAGGCTTACCTAATCCTATTTGTTGCAGATGCCAATTGTATTATCATCATCAGCCCGTCTATGTCCCCTTTGCAGAGACCCTTCCTTGTCTTTGCTATGGATGAAATAGGGAGATGGACCGTAACTCACCACGTGGGCCCAGTGCTTTGATTGGTGGGTGCTAACGACTGCCAATGCAGCTGTTATCCACGGCTTAATGTGCCTTCCGAAGCCCGGTCGAGCTGGAGGTAATAAGTTTTTGTTTACCACCACGTCTAATAACCGAGTGATGTCTTGCTCAATATCTGCCAACAGAATCTTTATAAAAGCCTTAGCAAATTACCGAACTCCATCTGATGTGCGATATTTGCGTTGAGAGTCGAGTCTAGATGCCAAGATATATGATAAAGTACTAAAATATGTTAGTTATTGCTACACTAACCTTGCCGGGCTGAACTTTATTCCCTGTGTGTACCTTATTACTGTGAAATTTTGCCGGGAGATCTTTTACGACGCTCTTAAATATATTGCCAGTGAAATACATATACCACCCACTACATATATAAAGAAATAAGCTTTTCTGATGTTCTATTCGAACTCGAAAAAAGTAATTTGGCACTCAAGTCAAATTCGAAGGCACTTCCGATCGTTGAAATAGGTAATAGCAAAGAATTTGAGCAGCGGTGTGTGTCGAACCGATAAGATCAGCCAGTCGGCATAGTCTCATTTTTATGACGTCACTCGCCCGATGTCGAGCAACGATTTGATGTAATGAGATCGTTTACCCGAACATGGAAATGTATTTAGTCCCTTCGTTTCACCTTTTTTATTATTCCTAATTTTCAGGTTTTTTTGATCTGACTTCCGTATAAACAGCGTTTGCATCGTACACTCCTATCCGAATCCTATTCATTTACACGGTGTAGTGCAGTCTTATTAGGAAAAATACTGTTCACTCCTACCCCTCTGTCATAGATCCATCATTGGTATAAAGCTCAGTTATTACGATAAGTCCTTACTCGATATTTAATCTGGGTATAATATAATTTAAAGTTGAATATTTGTCTCCCACGTTAAAAATGAAGTATATGAAATAAACCAAGACGCATTAGCTGTGTTGTTGTATTTTATCGTCAAAACATTAGCTTATCTAAGGATTCTTGTGCTTAAGATACAACGCTGACAATCGATTCGAAGTCCAAGTTTTACTTCATATATTTTGTGGGTAGTAAATAAGTTCGTTTTGTTTGCCAGCCTCCTTCAGACAGCGGAAGAAGTACATCTGCCCAAACTCCTGAAGCCAGAATTTGGTGGCGGTTACAAGGAGTTCACTGTGCGAGATATGCATTGCTTCCAAAAGGTAAATATATCAACAGGTTTCCTACAAATTAATTAAGAGAGAAAAGAGTAGGGCAGATATTCTTCTAGAATTGAAGCGGCCGTCTGCGGAAGTAATCTCCATCTTGTGTCTGTCGTCATGGGTATGGTTGTGTTTCTGTCGGTAAGTAAGGTCCCAGGGCTCCATGGGGGTAGGGGATGGGGTGGCGGTGGTGGTTTCAAGCGTATATAGGCTATTCCAACTGCTTACCATTAGACTTCACATAGACAAAAAATGACTTTTTTATGTAAAAAGGGGGGCTGGCAGGCCACATTTCTGTCGAAAAAAATGATGTCTTCTGTGTAGTTATGTGGGTGAACATTAGTGTTGATGTCGCCGTGTTTTTTTTATTATACAATAACCAAATTACTAATTACATAGACTCATTTTACTTTAACACATTCATATCTTTAGGTTTTATTTTATAAAACACTAGTATAAAGGTCTTGTCTGGTCTTATTTGGGCTGCGTGATCACAAGACCTACATTCATACAGCCAATAATCTTGGCATAGGCTTTGAAAGCGTGACCTTAAAAGCCTTTTGATTTAAGTGCCGAGACGATGAGGCGCCATCCATACAACGTTTAGCGAAGCAAATTAGGTAGACAGTTCATGAAGGCTAGAAAATATCCTACCTACCTACTACTACCTACCAATCAAGGCTGTGTTCATGGATACTATCCAATTTGACATTTATAGCGCTTTTATTGCGTAATAATTAAATTTCGTAACGGGAGCATATAAGTAAATTCGTAAACATATATATAGGGTACTAGCGGCCGCCCGCGACTTTGTACGCGTGGAGTTAGTTATTTGCACATACTTTTTGACCCTTGTTCACTGCTCGTTCCCCGTAGGTGATAGCGTGATAATATGTAGCCTATATGTTGACCCGAATTCTTAAATATTCGTGCCAAATTTGAAGTAAATCCATGCAGTACTTTTTGAGTTTATCCCGAACATACATAGAAACAGACAAAAATTCTAAAAACTATATTTTTGGCTTCGGTATCGATTGTAGATCACACCCCAAGTATTCTTTTAAAAAAATATTCAATGTACAGTTTTGAATCTCCTACCATTTTATTATATGTATAAGATATACACTGCATAACTTCGGCTGTTCCGTGTTATGGGCTCCGGCGAATGTTGATGGCCACTATTCCCCAATTTCCGTAATACAATGCCCCTGTGTGTCGATCGAACTTTTCTCTCAAGTGTTATGCCAAGTTTTTGAAGGCAATTTGCCTAGCGTCGAGATAAGCGCTTAATGCTTGCGTGACTGTAATAGCCCGTAATATACTCCAGTGTTTTGAAATTTTTTGATCTATTTCTGTAACATAATTTTGTCGTTGTAGTGGTGGTTTATGTAAGACTTACCGCTTAGAGTAAGACGGCACTTAGGAATAAGGCAGCCGTTTATCAGTAGAGAGAGAGATTTTGTTGGAAACCATTTTTTTACGTATTTGAATGACGAATTATTCTATCCAGAGAGAGAATATTCGCTTGTAATTTATATTACTTTGCTTCTTTTTTGTTTTTTATCAGACGCAGCAAATTGCCATTCCAACTGATGTTAAGTGTAAATGGAGTCTAGTCATGGTGCGGCAGAAAAGATGCCTCTCCAGCCATTCCTACCTTGCCGACCAGCACCAACAGAGACGCAATGCCATAAAAACCATGCTTAGCGACTGTCGTGCGAATCCGGGGTGTTTGATATCAAATTTTATTATGATATTGGGTAACTCTGACCTCGGAGAACTTAAAATTAAAAAAAAATAACTTAATTTTTTTCTTTCAAGAGAAAGAAAAAATGGTAGACCGCAATCCCAAACCTGACCCCAGATTCGGATTTAACAACCACAAATTACTTTATGACGTACTTTCTAGGCTTGGATCAGAAAGAAATAAAAAAAAGGCGGTCTACTCCGTACAGACAGACAGACAGACACGAACCACGTTATCGAATTCAAACTTTCAAATACAACAGTATTTATTATTTTTCTGTATTTTTCTATATGGTGGAATTTACTTACATACAGACACTACATCAGTCCACTTTGTCTTGCCTCTCCTCAATAAAGGAAAAAAAGTAGAATCTTTTATTTTTTGCCAACGTGACCAGCGGTATTTACCTTGAAGCTGTTCCAGTCCAGTAGCGCTAAGTTTGGGTAATTATTTTTGTGGTGGCGCGATCAGGCTATTTTCAATAGCATATTTATCTATCTATACATAAATTGTTTATTTCCTTTAGGTATACTCAGTACACAAATTGAAGTAGGCAATTCGAGACATTAATTAATTAATAAAAACTGTGTGCCGCAATGAAAGATCAAGGCATAAACTCAGTGATACCATTGCCCTGATAGCAAATCTCTGATATTTTGTGATATAAGGTTGTCCCTCCAGGGTACTTCAGCAGCTGAACTCCTGAACTCCCAAGAGCGTGGAGCTTTAGTGAAGCATGTGTTAGAAGCAGCAAGAGCGGAACCTGGTGATGAGCACGCCTTGGAGCCAGCACTCACTCTACGGCCGGGGCAGAGCATTGGTAAGGCTTACCAAAACATTTAAGGAATTTATTCACAGGTTTCAATCAACCAAAAACTATTGCTATATAATGAGGTGTAGTTTAAACTCATATTTGACCACTGGAAAAATTAAGCTTACTAATCATTAACGTATAAAAACAAGTATGTGGACACCGCTGCTCGTCAGATGCGCTATGACCTTATGTGTCCATAATTTTTTGATAAGGGGCCATCCATAAATTACTTCACACGTTAAGGGGGAAGGAGGAGGTCGACAAAGTGTGACATCGTCTAACAAGGGAATGGGAGGGGTCCTAAATTTCGTAACGTCACATTTCAAAATCTATTATAATCGAAGTGTTGAAACAGGAACTTTAAACTATTACTTTACTAAAAGATTAACAACCTAAACGAAAACAAAGTGTCTATAAATATTTTTAAGGAGTGGGTTCAATGTCAATGGACCCAGATTTTAAAGTTTGTATCTTTGATTTAAATATAATGCTATTAATATATTTTGTTTTGTTAATTTCTTTAATTAACGTAATATAATTATTTGCTGTTCATTTTGTTAATTGTTTGAAAAAATTGAGCATCAAAATGCTAATATTATTAAATAATAATTTAAATGCAAAAAAAACTGATTTTGGAATCGCTGTTTTCATTCAATAATTTCAAAATGTAGAGACACCAGGGAGGATTGGAGGCTCACAAATGTCCATCTGTGACAAGGACGGGTGGAGGGGCAAAAATTATGAAATTCTTGTGACGTAATTTATGGATGACCCCTAATCTCACTGGCGGACAAAATAGAATTTCATTTATTCAAACTCGTCATCACCCCTGTTTACATCTCTACCAGGGGCTGTTACTGTTTATCAATCAATGTCCACAGTGCCAGCCTGCGTCAGTAGAGGTGTGGTGGCTAGTATGTTTCCACTGCACGACCGACAAGCCTTGGAGAGTCTTAGAAAGAAGTGGGTTAAGACATTGTTCGCTCCCCAACCTTTAGGTAATGATATTAAAGTTCAATTTTAAACGTAATATCAACAAATATTCATTATTTGTTAAATTCCTTTCTGATAACCGTAAGTGCCTGTTCAGGTGGCGCGATTCACATGAGGTCTAGGCCCGTATTAATAGATTACTCTCTCACCATTGAGGCGGCGATCTTGAGATACTGTTTTCATACAAAACAGCGTCTCAAGATCGATCTCAGAGTTAATAGCGATCTAATAAAGCGGGTCTTAATGTTCATCGATTCGTGTTCTTACTCAGCCTTATGATCGCGCAATTAATTAAGAAATAAGTTTGAATCATGTCGTGAAGGCAGCTACAAATCGTTTCTAATTTTCAGATGAAATAAGTGAATATTTTGGTGTTAAGATAGCTATGTATTTTGCGTGGCTCGGCCATTATACCCAGTCTTTGACGGTGCCTGCTGTTGTCGGTTTTATATTTTGGGTAAGTTATGCCAAAAACAATATAAAGACACTTTGGTTTTGGGCCTTCGAGCTGGATCAATAATTTTTGTATTCGTCTCTTTACAGATATGGTTAGGTACAGCAAATGAGAACTGGAAAGATATAGCTTACGTTTTATTTTCACTGTTCAACGTATTGTGGGCGTGTGTCTATTTGGAAACATGGAAAAGGTATTTACTTTTTGCTAGTATGTTAATATAGAAATATTTGACTGTATTAAATATAATTTAAATATTTTCGGATTCCAGGTACTCAAATGTGTTGGCATACAAATGGGGAACGTTGGACCAAAGAGACGATTTGTTAGTGGAACCTCGGCCGTTATTTCAGGTGCGTTTTAGATCCTTACCTGTGATTTGCGTTTGTCCCTGTGATATCTGTATGTCTTTGTCAATGTTGAATAAAATTGAATTATAGAGCAACTTGTGGCTGCAAGAGTCGGTAAAACCTATATAGATGCATTCCTTAATGGCCTATATTTTGATGAGGTTTACTAATTCTATGGTGCAAATAGAAAATGGCCCGGGACGCAGATTTCAAAATACGCCCCTGTCTGAATTCCATCCAGAGCAGTGGGGACATTAATATGATGATGATGATGATGATTTATCTATATTTTATAGGGTGAGATGAGTACCAACTAGTGTTGCCAGGTCCGACTTGTTTTAAATCGGTACATGAGGTCTAAGCTTATTGAAATGAATTTGAAAGATAATGACAGCCAATTCATTCTTATCTCCACAACGTAATTACATTTTCCTTCTGAGCTACTAATCAGCAAAATTTGCGCGCAAATTCCGTCGCGCGTGAATTCGCAAGTGTTCTTTTTATCTCAGAAAGAATTTTGTACATTACGTTGTGAAAATAAAGATGAATTTGCGTTGTTACCTCTCTGAAATTCGCTTCGATGCGCTTCTACTCCGCATTAATATGAATTGACGATTAATCGAGTCTTGTATAACTTTCTTCAGAACTGCGCAGCGACTAAAATGACTAACTATTTCTCACCTGATAGGGTGAGATGGGTACCAGCCTAGTGACGGGTCGTCCAGAACCACAATACGCGCCGTGGAGGAGACGAATGTGGCGACACTGCGTCTCCTTTCCCGTGATGGTGGTCTGTCTGTCTGTCGCCGCCGCTGCGACTACCGTATTCCTGAGGGCGATGGTGAGTGACATTATGTTCACCTTATTATATGATATAACAATATGGAGGAAGTAATCAATCGTCTTCTCAAGAGATGGCGCTACTTGCGCTGCGCTCACAACGTATGGAAGCCTACATCGCGCAAGTGAAATTCGGAGGTTAAAACTTTATATATGTATGTAATGCCCGACAAACATCATCAACATCGGAAACTTGCACACTAGCTTAGCATTAGGCAGGCACCGCACCCATTGGATAAGAGTGCTCAGACCTGGGTCTACACACGACACGCTAAACCAGGTACAGGTAACTGGACGTTTTTTCCGCCCCCTACAACAACGGCTAGCTAGAGCCGAGGTCCTAGTCTTAGAGACGGCCCGCGTTAACTTTAGTTTTTTGAGAATGTCTCTGGAATGTTTTCTTTTGTCTCAATCCAGGTCTTAACTACGTATATGCGTACCAAATTTCATCTAAATCCGTTCAGGAGTTTTTGCGTGATTGAGTAACTAAAATACAAACTTGCACATTTATAATATTAGTAAGAAAATGATTTATTTAACTACTTTGGCAACAAATATTTTTCTTTTCCAAAAAGTTAAATATTTTTTTCGTCTCCTGCAGGATTGGTGGGAAACCAGAATAGTTTATTTCACGTGGATTCCCCGCGCATTTCTTGCAATCATTATTGCTATAGAAGAAGAACTATACGCCAGAATAGCTAGATGGCTCAACGACAAAGGTACTGTTTCAATCTTATTGTTCATCCTAAGACACGTTTGTTTTGGTTGATTTTATGTGTGAGCAAAAGCTGACAATCAAATTTCGAGAAGATATTGTATTCATGAGTTTTTTTATTTTAGTTTAAAAGATGATTGTTTGGTGCTTTCTTTGAATTAACTTCGTATTTATTTTTCGTTTTTATATAAAACATGCGCATATACTATACATAAATCTGTATTATATCCCTTTAATGTGAAATCGGGCTATCAGCAAATAATAAGTTCAAATATCTTAATTGTACAACAGTTAATAGTATATGTAAATACCTATGTCGGAGTGACTTTCCACAAGAATCAAATAATTTTAAGCAAAAAATATTTATATGTTAATAAATAGGCTATTTGACAGTATGAAAAATAAAGTAGGTACCAATTTATTAGTATGTGTATTTAACATAAATGTTGGTAGCGACTTCACTATTCTGACAAAAAGTACTTAGTTGATATATATTACTACAAATCATGAGACAGAAAAATATTATTTGATCTATTATCACGTGACCGAAAACGCCTATGATTAGTGAAGCCTAAAATGGCGTCACCTGCTACTAAAGATGGTGTCAAAGTGTCATTACTTTGTACTGTTTGACGTGACGTCACCTGCCTGCAAGAAGCAATATTTGCTAGTGAAACGTTTCCACGGCATATTTGTAAACAAAATTTTTATTTTTTTATTAATTTACTCAACAGAATTATAAATAACTTTATGGAGTCACTGTACATAAAAAAATAGCGTTAAAAATCTTGTCAAATAGTCTATTAGTATCATTAAACAGAAACTTAAATGGAAGTCACCCCAAGACATTTTTGTGTTTACTATGCTCTCAAATATAATTAAATACAAACGGTATTATTTTTATTACAATTCAATAATTTATGCATGACCATAGTTTGAAAGTTCCTCTTGAATATCGTCTTCGACTGTCTGTTTTAGCACAATACTCTTCCCTAGACCGTTTATTTCTAAATAACTATAAGATCAAATTAAATAGCTAGATTAAATCCGATGGAATACGTAAAATTAACTAGATTTAGTATAACGTAGCATTACAGTATCGTAGTTTTATAATATACTATAGCGCGTATTATTTTCTCTTTTCTGCTTACCAAACGGGACTGGACAATTATACTACTATATAAATATATGCTACTGGTAACCCCGACAATTATACCACGTTCCATTTCGTGCTCCCAACAGAGAACTATCGACTCGAGACAAAGTATGAAAATCATCTGATTGTGAAAATAGCATTGGTTTGTATTAAAAACACTATAAAAACAAAATCTTACGCCATGCTAAAAAGAGCTAAGCTTCCATCATGCTTTGCTTGTCATAGACAAAACGGAAAAGGTTATTAACATGATTGGTAATCTATGGTCGTTGAAAGCACTATGGTTTGCCAACGCACGCAGTTTTGTTTTATTTTGCATGCATGTTTAAATAAATTAAGTGATAACATTATTATGACTATGCACTTTAAGTAGATTTTTTTAATAATGTGGTAAAATCATATTGTAATAATAAGCAGAAGCATAAATCAAACTAAAAATTATTTAATTTTTATATGATTTCCTATACTTTCTATCCACAAACATTTTATTTTATTTTCTCTACGTCACATTCACAAATAATACAGTAGAGCTTTTTAGCTTATATTATTTTATTTTCAAATGAACTTTAAATTTATAATAGGATTTTCAATCTTAATAAAAAGACTAGTATTTTTATTTTTTTGGGTTTATTTCGATGCATATAAGACTACAAATATCTGAATTCAAAAATCTAGAAATTTGTAGTATTGTAATAACAACTGATGATGGTACAGTCCTATAATAATTAAAGTCCTGATGCAGGCACTTCACTTGGTAATTTATAAACTAGACCTCAGTCTGTCCTTATTATAAAAGGAATAAAAAAGGACAGACTGATGTTAAGTTTACAAATAACAAACACAAATAGCCAAGTGAAGTGCCGGTATGAGATTAAATAAAAACAACACAGTATAATACAAATAAATAAATTACTGGAGTGACTGAAGTATTTTTTACTCAATATGGGCTATTTCAGTGAGTTTTCTGCAATGACGGGCACCAGGTGGCAGCACTGAGAAAAAAGGTCTACTCATCAGTCAAATCGCGTATATCTTCTTAGGCCGGGCGCACTTTGGACACGTTTTCGTACGAATTTTACTCGTACGAACACGTACGAACGATCCCGATATTCCAAGTACTATGGGAGCGCGCAGACTGGGTGCGAGTAAGTCGTGCGTACGTGTAGTTCATACGTCCGAAAACAATCCGAAATTGTTGGGATTTTAAAACGCATTCGTACGTTTTAACATAAGAAATGGATGTTCCAACCAAAGCAGACTTCACAAATCTGATATCACTAGAACACTGCTCATTTGAGTAATAAAAACGTATACAGTGTGCGTACTCAATTCGTACGAATAAGATCGTGCGTATACTGTACGATACGAATTCGTGTCCAAAGTGCGCGCGGCCTTAGTCTAAGGATCAATTTAAACGATCGATCGATTAGTTTGCGCCAAAAACTTCATAGAACTGACCTCACGTCGAAGTGGCGCCAACTGGTGGCATAATTTGCATAATGAGGGATCATTAATTTCTGAAAGTTTTTAGTTGGCATAATACTGTTTTATATTTCAGTTTCAATTCGTGAACTCCTTCATGAGCTTGTTCTATATCGCGTTCTATCTTCAGGACATGGATAAACTAAAAGAGGTGAGCTCTGAAAAAACTTAAAACAACGAAGCTTATTTTGTCATAATGTATGCTTTTAACATATTACGTTCTCCCATTAAAATTTTAAGTACAGTCTACCTAAAAATAAGGGACCATAAGAAAACAAACTATTCCCGCCTTATTACAAACATAGACTAAAGTTAAACCTGGCCTAAACATGACGCTCTCACTTTTCTGTGCTAAAAAGAAGATATTGATAGATAACATTAGCTTTAAATCAATACTAATTTTAGTACGGGTTGTGGAATAAGGGGGATTAGGTTAATTGCATTATAGTGCTTTTTAAATGTATGGATTTAAATGGAATCGATAAGGCCTAATGTCGAATTTGTTCTGGTATATGTCAAGCTATAAAGAGTACTGTCCGGTCCTTTTCTCAAAACATTTTATATGAATATCAAATATGATAAAATGTTGTTCTTATTTTAATAGAGAGTGCACGTTTAATCAAGTACAGTTCTTGCCAATTTCTTTTTACGATTTTTGCTATATTGATTTCTGTATCACATTAATAAGACTCAATTTTAATTAACTTTTTGATTTTAGCAATTAGCGGTTTTGTTGATAACGAGGCAATTGATCGGCAATCTAAAGGAGTCAGCCCTTCCTTATTTAATAGAGAATCTGAGGTTGGCTAAGATATGTGTCGATGTGTTCGGAGCAATTAGCCCTAGCAAAGGTAAATCATTGCACAATTTTACTATAGATGTGTATGGTGAATGTGCAGTAACTTCTCTTTCCCTGCTGTTCTTGAAAAATCTTTAGTCCTTTATTGCCATTAAAATTACATAACAAATTACATAGCAAGTTTTTCAGAGGTCTATTCAACTCGGTTAACGGAATTATTCGAAATTCCTTTTTTAGAATGGAATAGAAATCTTTATTGTCATGCTGAGTACAATGGCGTTACAAGTCTTTTAACAACTTTAAAAAGTCCGTGACAGCATATTAGTTTTACTATAACCTTTCTCCTCAAACTAACGCGGGTGAATCCGCATGGGACCTCTAGTAATCGAATACAACTTTCAGCGCCCACTTCAACTCAATTTACGGAATTATTCGAAAGTTGTATAAAAAAAGTCTGCGACTGCATATGTCATCTTTTAAGTTAAACTATAACTTTTTCCCTCAAATTAATGCGGAAGAAACCACATTCTAGTAATCGAATAAATTTTTCAGCGCCCACTTCAACTCAATTAACGGAATTATTCGACAAGAAGACGGATTCTTCGGGTGGGTCGCCTGAGATCTCTCTCATTAACGGTGGGACAGAAAAGGACGGAGATAGACGGGACTCGGAACCCGTGGTTGGACAGAAGGTCATTCATCAAGCGGAACTGGAGTCGCAACTGTTCAAGGTTTTTTTTTCCTTTCTTTTGCTTTGTTATTAAATTCACTATGGGTCTGTAACATTAACTTATGTACTCTCGCCTATAATCTAGGGTGGAGCACGAGAAAAAAAAATGTATTATGCAAAAGAATCTCTAGCAAACTTGAGCCTGGGGGTCGTAACACAGGTTTTGTAACCTAGAACAATCTCCAGCTCTCTCAAAGAACTACATTGTTTTTACTGTTTATGTCATTCAATACCCTTTAACTTAATTATAATGTTACTTTGTGACTTAGTGAGAGAAAATAAATCATTCATTCAAGGTGAGTTGGCGGAATTTGAGCCTTACTTTGTTGGAGTTTAGGGTATTGTGTATTTCAGGGTAGGCTCAATGGGAAAAACTGCGAATTTATCCCGCCAGAGTCGCAGGTGTCGATGTTCCGCAACAACAAATCGATCCAGCTGTCAAAGTCACAAAAAAAACCGACAAATTCCGATAGATTTGGCCTGCGTTCCAAACCTACGCTGCAGGTGGAAGAAATGATTTTTTTTCAACGGCATAAGTTTCATACATTTTTAATGTTAAAATTGAAACGTCAGGGTAAAACTTGTTGCACTTAAAGAGTAGATTTAGAACTCAGCCTAGAAGAGTCAAGTTTCTTGTCATAGGCCAAACGCCAAAGCGCCTTTGTAATGAGCTTTGCGTTTTCCTCCACATTATATAATTATTCTCTTTTCTGAAACTTTCTTCTTTTCGCGATTCCTAACATAGTCAGAAACCTCAGAACAAGAACTAAAGTGAAGAAGTAATGCTAACGTTTGAGCGTACACTCCCATAGATGATAAAATAACGAAAAGAGTTCCAAACAAAGTATTAACCAACCAAAAAGTATTAATCCCGTGTATTTGACATAAGATCGCTTTTTGATTCGGTATCCTAAAGGTAACCAATAAAGGATGCTTTGGTTTTACCTTGGTAATAATGCATTCCTATTTGCGAAGGAGCCTATAACTGCTAGATTTAAAAATCTAAATAAAATGTTTCCAAGAAAGAAATAAATTTTGCGTTGCTTAGAAATATAAGGCAGTAGAGATACACTCCGGGCTTTGCACGGGTGACATTGAGTTACAAATTCAAAAAAAAAAATATAGCCTAAGTCACTCAGAAATAATGAAGCTTTCTACTGATGAAACAAAATTGGACAAGGATTTATTATTTATTTATTTATTGTTTATTAGCAACACTAATTTTATTAATTATATTGGTTGTTTATTTGTAAACAACAATTATAAGTGTTGACGTCATTCACAAATGTAATTTTAAGGATTGAATTTTGACTCATAATATTACATATCAAATGAAATTAAATAAGATTGCAATTATTTAATATAATAACCAAACAATGTTCAATTAATAAATTAGAATTTTACATTTTAATAATAATAACACTACACAGAAACAATCTTTGTCACAGATTACACAACTTCCGTTTAAATGTTGACAAAGTATCACAAAATACATCAATACCAGCATTTCTCACACATAGTTCATTGTATGTTGTACATGTTCGTGGTATAGGTGAGGTATATAAATTTAGTACTTGTTTTAATGCTTAAAAATAACAATTTATTAAATCTCCTTTTTTTCTTTTCCCTCTAGTACGAAGGCACCTTCTGCGAATACCTCGAAATGCTGACTCAACTCGGCCACGTGGTTTTGTTTTCGTCCGCGTTTCCTTTGGCGGCCGTATGTGCTTTACTCAATAACGCGGCCGAAGTGAGAGCGGATGCCTTCAAACTATGCCACGTGGCCCAAAGACCTTTCGCTGAAAGAGTCAACACTATTGGCAGCTGGCAAGTACGTATTGTGCTGTATTTATATTGACATAAGGGTGGTTTTTGTGTGTACATTTTAGATTTTAAACTTTATTAGAACTTAAAAGAAGGATTAATTAGATTGCTAATCTTCTTTTTATTTCTTTCTACTTTTTGACCCTTACAAGTGCTTGTAACAGCCTAGACTGAATACATGACTTTCATTTCATTATCAATTGGTAGAATCAAAGTTCTAGGTAGATATATATATATATATATATATATATAAATCTTCTAGCCATTCTTAAGCTGCAAGGCAGCGCCATCTCTTCGCATTATAGGCAACCCACAGCACCCACAGGTTTACCTAGTTTAGGCTATCCTCCGTGCTTCGGAAGGCACGTTAAGCCGTTGGTCCCGGCTGCATCTGCAGTCGTTAGCGCCCACCAATCCGCACTGGGCCCGCGTGGTGGGTCATTGCCCAATCTCCCTATTCCATCCATAGGGAAGGTCTGTGCCCCAGCAGTGGGGACATTAATAGGCTGATGATGATGATGATGATGAGGCTATAGTATCAGTTACATATCTTTTGTTATGTCTAGAATTGAGTCATTTATTGTAAACTAAAATTCAATAAACATTTATTTATTTCTCTTCTATATATATAGCACGCCATGGAATGCATGGTGGGGGTAGCGGTGCTTGTCAACTGCGCTCTCATAGGGCTGTCGGGGCCGGTTCATCGGCTTTTACCCGACGCCACTCCTGCGCAGACTGTTTTAGTCATCGTGGCTTTAGAAGTGAGTATTATTGATGTGTAACATCTTTTCTCTCGCTTTCCTGCAATTTGTGGGAGTGATTTCGTGAAATGGGACGGAAGTGTGTCAAAGGAAGTCGCAAAAGCGCGCGCTATTTGATTTTATTTTAGAATAATGTTCAAATTGCTTATTCTTTTTGTAATAGGTTTTATTTATTTTTTTACTAATATAAGGTGAGGTTTCAAATGTTACACATCATATGCGACTACTGTAAGGCTCACTCGTTCTTTATATACTAGCTGTGCCCCGCGATGTTACCCTCGATTTATTGGGGATCTTTTCCCGCAGTAAAACGCAGCCTATGTGTTAATGCAGGGTGTCAGCTAACTCCATGCCAAATTTTATTCATCGCTCTAGCCGTTTAGACGTGAAGAAGTAACAAACATACACACTCACAAACTTTCGCCTTTATAATATTAGAGTGATATGAAGTTAAGTTGAACATTAGGGGTTATATACACCGTGAATTTTGAGTTAACTGAGGTACCGAACTAGCCAATTCAGACAAAGACTTAGGCTATATTTCTGCGAAAAAAGATTTTTTCATCACCAACACAGTCCTTTATCAAATTAGACAACGCAAGTGTTTCATCCTAACTAACATTATAAATTCGAAAGTGAGTTTGTTACGCTTTCACGCAAAAATACTGAAGGTATTTGAATGAAATTCGGTACGCATATAGTGTATGACCTGGATTGACACATGGGATACTTTTTATCGACTTCAAAATTTCGGTTTCTAAAGCAAGTTCATTCTTTACAGTAAAAAAATATTTTAAACCATTATTTTATCCACAGCATGTGATCTTGGTGACAGTCCTGGCACTTCGAATGGCAATACCCGAGATTCCTGGTTGGTTAGCAACTGAAATGGCCAAAGTGGAATTCCAAAGGAGAGAAGCTATAAAGAATGCTCACGCGCCGCTAATGGTGAGTAAGACTGATTGATATTATATCTATCTTTTGCATTTTTACGTATGATATGTGATTGTTATTTTTTTTTTGTTATCTGTTTCATATATTTTAAATGAACTCTTTGCCTTTCCATTTATTTATGGGTCATATTTTTATACAATTACCGACTTAATGATACTTTTTTATTATATTTAATATTGTAAATTACTTTTAAGGGAATCATTGAAAAAAAATGATATAATTGTTTTTATTATAGTGTACATAATGAAAATAAATAAGTGAAAATATCAACCCCATATAAGACTCCGGATGCGTTTAAAAATTAGCATTCACAAGTGCATGTTTTATAAAAAATATAAATCAGTTGTTGTTTTTTTCTTGCATCTATATATATGCAAGATGCAGCATATAACATAGCATTAAACGACTGGAATAGCATTACCTGAAGTCCTTGTCTCTCACCGTCCTACATGCATACAGACAAGCACACACACGCGTACTCATACACAAACACACACACAATGCCACTCGTTTTTACTTTATAACGTAGTTAAAAGGTTATTTTCTGTATTCTGTAATTTTACAATATCATCTGTTGCTATCTTTTTTACATTGATTCCACGAAACAGGACCTCCTAGTGTGGGATCCATGATTATAATTTTATATTATTTTAACAAAACAATCCATTAAGAACGCCGTCGTAAATCAATCGATTATTTTCAAGTCGGAATGCACGAGTCAAGACGACGTTCGTCCTCCATCACGAAACACGGCTACTCCAACGACGCCCAAACAAAACGACAAACCTGAACGGAAGAAGATCAATATCGGAAAGATACCGGAAATACCGCCATTCAGGTCAGTGCTGACTTATTCGCTAAGACATAAAGTTTAATTTTGCACTTTTTTTCAGTCCAATATGCAGCAATTTGACTAAAACTAGATTCTGCTCATACAATAATGTCAAATTGACATTGACGTTCTGACACGTTTCTACGGGTTAAAGCTAATTTTAATTGAATTCAGATTTAGTAAATTTTGCAAATGGGCCTTCATATTTGCACTAAACGCTGATATAAACAGTTTGGTAAAAGCAATAAACTTTACTGATACCGCAGATTAGGAAAACTTCTAAGTAAAAAACGCCCAAACGGCGATTCTGCATTTGCTAAGACATGTGGTATAATTTCACACGTTTTATTATAGTATTTGCACAAAACGCTAATACAAAGAGATTGGTAAAAGCAAAGAACTTTACTTATGCCGCAGAGTAGGAAAACTTCTAAGTAAAAAACCCTCAAAAGGCGGTGCTACATGTACTAAAACAAAGTTTAATTATGCACCTTTTCTTTTAGTATTTGCACAAAACGCTGATATTAACAAATTAGTAAAAGCAATGCACTATACTAATACCGCAAAGTAGGAAAACTTCTAAGTAAAAATCCCCAAAAGACATAAGGTTTAATTTAGCACTTTTTAGTTTGCTATTCGAAAAGTTATAAAAAACGCCTAAAACACTTGTGGTTGGTTTATGATATGTAGTGAACAATAGTCGTAAAGGCAAAAATTGCTTGCGTTCAATTTTGATAGCTTACACATTTCTTTCGAATATTATGATCGAGCGCCAAGCAGTAGGCATCCTTAAACACATACTTCTTCAAATTCATGTCTTGGGTGGGCCACACAATTGGTACTACCAACAAAATTCATATAGCACTGATTTTGGTCACTATATAGTATCAATTAACACATTGATACTCTATAGTGACAAAAATCAATGCTATATGAATTTTACATTAGGTACAAAAAGTCCAAGAAAACCGGTTTTCTTAGACAACTTTCAGAAATGGTGAAAGGAGCGAGGTATTAAAAGCATCTCTTTATACTACTACAAATATTATTAATATAAGAAAGGTGTCAAAGAACGGAAACTTCTTCTTATCATCGCACCACGGCCACATTTGTGGTTAATAATGCATTTCACGTCGCACGTAGATATCGAATTGTCAGCTATTTATTATGTTATCGTTTTATTTGATATTCAGCTTGCTAAACGGTTCAAGGTAACACCGAAAAGTGACAATAGAACAATCCCGATTTTCTTTATCCAATTTTAGTCTTCTGAGCATCTTGGCCTGCGCATGTTCCATTTCAGTATTGAGGGTAGCTGAAAGAATAACGTTGAATAAAGGTTTTTTTTTGGAAAAATTAAAGCAATATCAATGACGCAATAGGAGCTTAATTTCCTTGTTATTCTTTTAAAAGCATTTCCTCAATGGGCACATTGGGTCTGATCCTCTTAATCTCACACTAAATATGACAATAGAATGTCCTTATCATTGCTTTATGAAGAATAAATATAGAAAAGACTGATGGCATTAGCCTAAGTTTAGAAAATCTTACAGGAATCAGACCCAATGCAAACTTAAATATCTTAAACAATTTCAATCGTTTTTATTGTAAGAATGTCATGAAATTAGTTAAGAGAAATAGATGCATGTTTATAGAAGGTGTTTTGCACTTTGTGTGTGTGTTTCATTAATCAAACATACAAATTGATATTATCTATTTCTCTTGGGCGTATATCTAGACAGTTAATCAACTGTTTTTACATATACAGCAAAACTGTTAAAATGAAAAAAGAAACCGTATTCTCTCGCACAAAAGAGTAATTTTACTATATCTTATGTAAATTATGTATATCACTCCATCGGTATTTATTTTTCCGAATATAATGTCTTCACTTCACTTGGTTATTCGTGTTTGCTATTATTTGTAATTAGTCTGTGCTATTCACTCCTTATGAACGTGATAAGAAAAGGCTGTTGTCACGTTCACAAAAAGCAAATACGAATACCCAAAAGAAATGCCGGCATTATACAACTGCTAAAACCTTGTCTAATAAAGAGTTTGAAAAACGATAGTTTTCGTCCCTCAAAGCTCAATCAAACACATATATGTGGTAGTAGATTTTAATTTATGTTTATTCTTTTGTTTTCAGTTAATTTATCACAAGTATTGCCTGGATGGGTGTGTAGTTGGTTATTACGAAAATGTACTCCAAACATTACTTTTATCTTACCTATCTAATATAGAATCACGTTGTGACTTTTCACTATTCCCTTTTCGTATTAACGATATGTTGTGCTTGCTATTTCTTTATATTAGTTTTGTTTAATTTTTGTGATGCATTAAAATTAATGGATATTTTGAGAATAAATTTCGTTTTATCAATGTTATACTCACTGTACTTTTCTCATTTGTTTATTAATAAATTATACTTTTGTTTGTATTGTTGTTTTTTATTTGAATAACATTATATAATAATAATAATAATAATAACCTTTATTTCTCACCATAATCACAATGTTGGTATTAATGGCTACATAAAAACAATGATATAAAAAGCATGCATTTTTTTTTTTACCAAAAATAAAAGGTACGTATTGATCAGATTATGGTGGGTTGACACCTGAACTAGGATGAATCCTGTGTCTCAGGTAATCAACCCTCCACCCTATTCATAAAGTTGTGTACCATTTAGTAAACAATTTATTAATCCAGATAACTGTTCTTAAGTTATTAATTCAATGGAATAGCCAAAGGAGTTTGTTATGTGTGTGAGTGTGTGTATGTGTATGTGTGTGTGGGTGTGAGTGTGTATGTGTGTGTGTGTGTGTGTGTGTGTGCATCTTATAATGTTTAACTTATTATTTTGAATATCGTTTCTGTATTTTTATAATCTAGCGTTTTTAAACTTTTTTGAAGTGCAGTTTTAAGATTATTTCTATTTAGTTTAATAATGCTGTTTAAATCATTGTAATATCTATATAAAAATGGACTTATGAAGTGTACTTGTCGTCTAGCAAACCCTGTTCTACAATTTGGGACAGGAGTACGAATGCGTCTTTTATTTAGGGGCAGCTGCGTAGGATCCATGGTTTTATGGTAGCGGAGAACCGAGTTGTATATAAACAACTGTCGAACAGTGAGAAGCCCAGTTTCCTCGTAGAGCTGTTTGGTTGGATATCTTCTAGGCTTACAGAACATAACTTTGATCACAGCTCTCTGAGCCCTTTCTAATTCCAGGAGAAAAGAGGCAGCTGCTCCACCCCACACCGTAACACAGTATGTCAGAAGCGATTGGCAGAGGGCAAGATAAATTTTACGAATTAACTTGTGGTCGGCGGCATCTCTGAGGCTCCTAAAAATGGGAAGGAGTTTCCTTATCCTTTTGCTTATCGCTGTTACTTGTGGGTGCCAATTTAGGTTCTTGTCAACTATTACACCTAGATATTTGTGGTCATCTGTTTGCGTTAGGAGTTCACAATTGCAGTTAATTTCTAGGTCACACAAGGATGAATGGGCTTTAATAGTGAAGTGGATTGGTGGCTTAGTAGCCTCTGAGATTCTAAAACATACATATTTTGTTTTTTGTATATTAATTGTCAGCAGATTGTTATCCAGCCACTTTATGACTTTCCTTAATCCATTTTCAGCAGACCTTTCAACTAATGCCCAAGTTCTATTTTTGAAAATTAGCGCAGTATCGTCCGCGAACGCCAGAATATTGCCATTATCAAGTTTAAGGTTGCAGAGCTCATTGACGTAGGCTAGAAACAGTGTAGGGCCAAGAGTGCTTCCCTGGGGTATACCACACATTACTGGTGACTCAGAGCTGGAAACACTCCCCACTCGAACAACTTGGCTTCTGCCTGTGAGGTAGTCACAAAGCCATTCCAATACGGGCCCACGAATGCCCAAGTTTTCAAGCTTCGACAAGAGTATCGGTATGGAAACGGTATCGAACGCTTTTTTGAGATCTAGGAAGATGCCTACACATCGCTCGCCGTCGTCAAGTGTTTTAGTGACTAACCCCGACAGTACAGATACTGCATCCTCAGTGCTTCTACCTGATCGGAAGCCGTATTGTGAGCCAGCTAATATGTTTTTATGTTCAAGAAATTTTACCAATCTGATGTTAAAGGTCTTTTCGATAATTTTGCTAATTGTGCTAAGTAGTGATATTGGTCTGTAGTTCGATACCGATTTCGCGTCACCGCCTTTATAAATCGGAACAACAACAGCTTTCTTAAATATGCTTGGAAAAATGCCTGTCGAGAAACTCAAATTACACAAGTGGGCTATCATTGTGCACAAGATGGCATGTGAGTTTTTGAGAATTTTTGTTGGTATAGAATCTATTCCGGGAGCACTGTTAGTTTTAAGATTGAGGATGATTTTGTCTATCTCCACAAAGTCTGTAGGAAGTAAGCACATTGAGCTAGCATTTATCGAAGATTTTTTTTGTATTAGTTTAGGGACACTCGTATTGGTTCTCGTTAATATTTCTGAAGCTAGTTTTTCACCAATAGACGTAAAATATTGGTTGGCCATATCCAGAGACTCATGTGGAGATGATGATATGTTGAGCAAGGAAGAGGAATTAGAGTGTTGTTTTTTTATATTGCATAGTTCCTTCACTGTTTCCCAGGTTGCTTTATTGTTTTTATAACTTTGGTTGAATTTGTCTTTATAATAGGTATTTTTTAGACTCTTAGCAGTATTATTGCAAATGTTACGATATTTGATATAATGATGTTTTAGTTCAGAGTTGTTTGGAAACATTTTAGTAATTTTGTGCAATTGATCTCGGGTTTTAAAACATTTGATGATACTAACAGTTATCCATGGCTTAAGCGGTCGTTTTCTTTTGCTGAATGTGTTAATAGATGTGTGGCGTATAATAAGCTCTTGTAGAGTTTTCGTTAATGTTATTGCAGCTATGTTGGGATCTTCAATAGATAGGAATGGTTTCCAGTCCTTTGTTTTAATAGATTTCTCCAAGGCCCCATAGTCTATTTTAGTTCTTGTAATAGATTCACAGTTAGTAATTGTAGATATTAGAGAGCTCGAAATACTTAACAATATGGGATAGTGGTCAGTTATGTCAGCTGTGAGTACGAAACATTGTTGTTTAGCAGCTACTTTGCTCATGAAGTGGTCTAAACATGTGCGACCATGTGTCGGGATGTCGATAATATTATACAATCCATGAGATCCTACGATCTCCAAGTAATCTCTGACATTTGTATTATTAGTATCCAAAGTGTCAATATTTATGTCTCCTGTCAGAACTATATTTCGCGTTTTGTTTGTAGTTAATAGTGTGTCTAAGGAATCTAAAAATATGTTAAGATTTTTGAATCCGTATGGACGATATATCCCAAATACTGTCATATTTCCTATCTTAGCTGCTAGGCAGTTAGCTTCAGCCAGTTCCATTTCCTGCACAATGGCATTGATGCAGCTGTTGATATACATTATAACACCGTCATTTTGCTTGAAACTTCGTTTGGAAAAGTACATATTAAATCCATCTATCATCGGTGGGATGGAACTTTCGTCACACCAACATTCCGAAAGAATTATGATATCCACGTTTGTTTTCAACCTAGTGATATATATTAAGAAATTGTCTAAATTTTTGTTAACGCTCCTAATATTGAATGTTATTATGTTTAGTTTATTTTGTTTGTAATTTTTCACCTTGTCAAGTTCTAGCTTAATAGAATCTGGATCATCAATAACCTTACAGGGAATTGTACAAGATGCGTCGATATCATCAAACAATTGTTGGCTATCCATATTTGCTGTTGACAATGGATAGTCGGTTTAAATATATTAGGCTGTAAATATGCTCATAACATTTGACAGTGACCAAACATACTACAATTTGACAAGTTCTGCAAGACAATGGCGAAATGTTGTGTGAATATAATGATAATGAATGACTAATAAGACTCTGAAATGATATAATGTAAGTTCTTCGGTGTATTTGTACGTGTCCTGAGTTTATATACATAAAATATAAAGCAAGTTTGTGTTCTATTAGTGTGTAAATTGATTGTATTTTTGTGTTTATAAAATGTTTGTACTTGTAACTTATAATTAAATCAAATTCTGTATGTGTAGTAAATTTACAATATATAAATGTTAAAAATGTTATTAAACCTTTCACTAGTCACATGTTTTTCATTTGGTGTAGTTGAGCCTCATTCTTCACTAAAATATATGGAGCACCTTGCTTCTTTCTTAAGTAAACCAGCCCGTTTGAAGTCCAGCAATATGCGTAATCCATTGTTTTGCGAAAGTCTCGTGCAAGAAAGTATAACCTCGAAGCTTGGGCAGTGAGGTGTTCAGACAGGTAGATTTCCTCTTTATGTCCCTCCAAGCCAAGATGTGCGGAGTTTAATTGTTCAGTTTTATACTTTTTCGAATTGAGGTTGTGCGTTTTAGCTGCCGCCAAAATACTTTCCTTAATAAGAGTTGAGGAAAATTCGGCTATAATGACCGAATTGGCACCTTCTATTTTAGCTGGTATTCGATATATGTCACGTATTTCTGTTTTCTCAATTTCGATAGTTAAAGTTGTAGAAAGTTTTTTTATCATCTCAAATAGTTTCTCTTTTGTCTCACCCTTCTGCTTAGGAACGTTTCTTATCTGTATACTTGTTTTTCTTGACAGTCTCTCCAAAGTGTCGCATTTATCACCTATGTTTATAATTTGGGATGAGATTTGTTTACGTTCTGTTTCTAGACGGTTAATTGTGTTTTGTAGTTCGTCCAATTTATGATTTAAAAACTCGATAGACTTTTCAATGTCAAGGTTATTGCTGTGAATGAGATCATTTTGAGATTTAATTTCAGAAATATATTTTTCTATAATATCTAATCGCGAGTTTTGCTGTATTTGCATGGTATTCATAAAATCTCGAAGTTCTTCTCGGATAATTGCTCGAAAGTCGGCTCGCTCTGGTTCTACTTGCTCTTCGGCAATTCTTCTGCGTTTGCTGTCACGTTGCTTGCAATGAGTAAGCCCAGAATCCTCCAATGCGGCAGTAGTCGCTACCATCCTATTAACATCGGGTTCTGACATGCTGAGTGATTGGTTTAACAATGACGGTGGTGAGCGTGCTAAATTCGGCATTTTAGATTATTCTTAGCAAAAGCAAAAGCAAAAGCCTCAGTCACAGAATCCAATTTCACACAAGATTTTAAATTTTGAAATGCTAACCTGCATCAACCTTAATAATAATATTAGTCGCTATCGCTTCCGCTTATTACTGTGGTAAGCACCGAAGTATGACTTATGAATGAATGAGTATACGCACGGTCAGTGGCAGTTCACAGAGTAGCTTATTGAACTATAGCTGCCTCTTGCAGGTGTCCTTGTCTACTGCGCCGAGCGAGACTGCACTTCCTTAACGTTATGCCCGCCTGGTACTTCACCA